TCCTGACACTTTTCCCCGGCAGAGGCCGCAGCGGGTGGGAGCTGTTCCCTTCCCCTGTCCCCAGCGCTGGCCAGGTTCAGCAGGGAAAACGGATGAACCGCAGAAGAGCCAAGCGCAGCAGAGGCGCGGCGGGGGCGCACACCCCCCTGAGCCCCGTCAGGGGCAGCGAAAGGTGCGAGGAGCTGCTCTGGGGGGGAGCGGCTACCGGGTGGAACCGGGGAAGGGGCACTGACAGCCCGGGCAGGAGCCGGGCTTTGGGCAGCGGGGGCGGGCGGTAACCGGGGAGGGAGCACTCACAGCCGGGACAGGACAGGGGAACGCGGCTGCCGGGAGGGAAGCGGGGAAGGGGCACTCACAGCGGGGACAGGGCACGCGGCTGGCGGGGGAAGCCGCGCTCACAGCCGGGACAGGGGACACGGCTGCCAGGAGGGAAGCGGGGAAGCGGCACTCACAGCCGGGACACGGGACGCGGCTGCCGGGGGAAGCGGCACTCACAGCCGGGATAGGGGGACGCGGCTGCCGGGTGGTGAAGCGGCACTCACAGCCGGGACAGGAGCCGCCCCGCTGCCGCCGGAACTGACGGCAATGGCCGCTCCGCCCCGCATGCGCGCCGGGACACGGCGGGAGAGTCCTGAGGGGAGCCGGGCGATTTTCCGCCGTCGTCCGCGGTGCCGATGCCGGGGCTTCCACGGGGACTCGAAGCCTCTGCCTGTGAACACGAGGTATTCCTCCAAGAGGAAGGCGTTAAAAGGAGTGGATGAATGACTGATTCACCTGGATGGTAAATTTCAGCCGACGCTGTATGAAAACTTAAGGGGCTCGAGCCCTCAGAACGAAGTGAGCCTTCCTGGCATTCCCGAATCCCGAAATTGGTCTGGTGTCATAGAATCATCCAGTCCAACTCTCAACCCAGCACTGCTACTGTAACCCCAAAACCACATCACCAGACTCAGATACATCTTAAATCTTTCCAGAAATGGTGATTCTACCACCACCCTGGGCAGTGTATTCCAATGCCTGACCAATCGAACAGTGAAAAAAAAATTCTCATGCCTAATCTACATTTCCCTTGTCTCAGCTTAAGTCCATTTCCTCTGGTTCTCACCATTGGCACAGCAAGGGGACGGCCCCAGCTCACTAAAAGCTCCTTTGAGGAAGCTGTAGAGACCAATGAGGTACCCCTGAGCCTGCTCAAGACAGATCTTCCTCTGAGAGAATTTCTCAGTCATGTACCTTAAATGACAAAATCATGAAAGCTCTGGAAGTACAAAAACAATGGAAGTATGAGCCTTGTATGAGAGTTCAGGTGAATTTCTGGTGAAGGATGTAGGAACCTTAATGATGTTCAGTGAGGCCAAAGTGCAAGATACTGCACTTGGATGACCAACCCCTGGTATCAACACAGGTTGGGGAATAAGTGGATTGAGAACAGCCCTGCCAAGAACTTGGGGGTGCTGCTGGATGAGAGGCTGGACATCAGCTGGCCGTGTGTGCAGTTGCATCCAGAAAGCCAAACATGTCCTGGGTTGATCCCCCAGTGTGGGCAGCAGGTGAGGGATGGGATTCTGCTCCTCTACTCCAGTCTGGTGAGACCTAACCTGCAGTGCTTCATCCAGGTCTGGAATCCCCAGCACAAGAAAAACTCATGGACTTCATGGAGCAGAGCCAGAGGAAGCCATGGAAATCATCAGAAGGCTGAAGTATCCCTCCTGTGGAGAGAGCCTGAGAGTTTGGGTTGTAAGCCTAGAGAAGGGTCCAGGGACACCTTATTGCAGCTTTTAATAAGGGCCAATGTCATGACTTAAAGTAGTAGCACTCCAACAAAATAACTTCAATAGAACTCAAGAGTGTTTGAAAAATTTGGATGAACAATTGCATTTAGGCAGAATCATAGAATCATTTCGGTTGGAAAAGACCCTTAATATCATCACCAACCTAGTACTGCCAAGTCCACCTCTAAACCATGTCCCTAAGAGCCCCATCTACGTGTCTTTTGTATCCCTCATGGGATGGTGACTCAATCACTTCTCTAGGCAGATAGTTCCAATGCTTGACAACCCTTTTGGTGGATATTTTTTTCCTAATATCCAATCTAAACGTCCCCTGGCACAACTTGAGGCCATTTCCTCTTGTACTGTAACTTGTTACTTGGAAGAAGAGATTAACCCTCACCTGGCCACAACCTCTTTTCAGGTCTCCTCAGCCACTGTGGCACAAGCTGTGGGCTCCAGGCAGGTCTCTATGCTCCCCTCGGGTTTCCCCAGTTTGGGAGCTATGAGGAAAAACAACAGCATAAAAGGAACTGAACAAGCTTTAGCCTTGACCTTCAGTTATCTTCCAAAAATGGACATTTCACAGAGGGAGAGGAGCTGGAGAGATGGCAGCACAAGCTGGGCACAGAGTCTCAGACAGAGGTTGGTCACAACCCCAGCAGCAGCATGGCCTTAGGGCCAGAGAGGGGTGGGGTGTGCTCAGCCCGGTCAGTTCCTGCTCCCTTTGTCCCTTTGCTGGGGACAGTGACTCAGAGGCAACTACACCTGGCAAGCTCTCAGCTGGCAGAGGGGAAAAGAGGCTCTGAGGAGCTCAGCGGGTGCTTCACCTGTGCCTTCCCACCACCAAGATCAATATCCTCAGAAATCCTGGTAGTTTGATGAGGGTTTATTTGTATATTGAAATCATGAAACACCCCGGTGGTATTGAGAAGAAAGTCACTGCTGGAGTAATGTCAGCTGTGTCCACAAGATGTCACAAGACGGTAAGGATCAAAAAGGAAACCGACCCTTCAGACATCCAGGCAGCATCCCAGGATATTTGTGCTTCCTTTCAAATAAAACATACACACAATGGCCTCACATAAGATGTAATCTCAAGAGAATTATACAACCTAAGAGATACAGATTATCTGCAATAGCTAACTATAAATTATGTCCCCAAATACAATAATTTTGCAATTTAATCATGTTGTTATCCTTGCACCAAGGTGCTTCCAACTGCTTATGGTGCTATATTTTATTAATAATTCAGTATCATCTGTAGCCTTGCCCTTATGGATTGGGCAAATTCTGTATAAGATACTAATATTCAGTCAATAAACTCCCTGTGTTTTCCACTCAGTGGTTCTTCATGGGTACATTCCTTTCTCCCCTAAATTCCACGTGAATTATTATTATGCATTCTGGAAAAGCTCCTGCTCTTCTCTCTCATATTAATTAGAGATAATTTAGTGGCCTTAGCAGATTTCTTACCAATACAGATCATCAGGCATGTTGTTTGTAAAGCATACTGGAAACTTTTTTATTGAAACCACTAAGGAATTGATGCAAACGATGTGTCATCACTTCTGGAAGTGCTCACTTGTCCTGCAGCTCTTACCCAAACAGGCACAGGCAAACTTCTGGAGCCAACACTCCCAGCAGCAAAACCCCATCCACAAGCACATTACAACCTTCCTACGCAGCAGGCCCATAGCATAAACGTGGGGAACGTGTTAATAATGAAGATGCAGCCCTATCATCACTTCATATGGCCTCCACAGCTCTGACACGTGTCCGAATGACCAGACACATTCCTTGGTACTGTACTACAGCTGCAGAGGTGTGGAGCAGCCTGTAATTACAGTTTGGGTTAAAAATTTTGCAGGCAGTGGCCTGTAATCGGGATGCACTTAGGAGGTGTCCAGCTGCCATTAACAAGCTCCCCACTTTCCTGTGCCAGCCTGGGGCTGAGGGACCATGATGAGAGGTGGGGAAGTCCCAGGCTGCTCCCACCTGCCCTGGGGCAGCCGGAATCCACCCAGGTGGGAAGAGTGAGTGGAAAGCTGCTCAGTACAAAATGATCTGGTGGAAAAGGACCTGGAAGTGCTGGTTGATAGCAGCTGAAGGTCAGCCAGTGTGTGCCCAGGTGGGCAAGAAGGCCGGTGGCATCCTGGCCATGTGTGTCAGCACTAGTGTGGCCAGCAGGAGCAGGGCAGTGATTGTCCCTCTGTGCACTGGGGAGGCCACACCTGGAGTGCTGTGTCCAGTTCTGGGCCTATCAATTTAGGAAGGACATTGAGGTGCTGGAGCATGTCGAGAGATGGGGCACAAAGGGGCTGGAGCACAAGCCTGATGAGGAGCAGCTGAGGGAGCTGTGGGTGTTTAGCTTGGAGGAAAGGACGCTCACGGGCGTGACTTTATCACTCTACAGCCACCTGGTGATCGGTCACAGGTTGGATTCGATGATCTCAGAGATCTTTTCCAGCCTACTTGACTCTGTGATTATGTGATATGAAGGGACTCGCAAACGGAGCCTCCGGAGCCTCAGCGCGCCTGGGTGTCCCCGAGCCCGCTGTCCGCCCGTGGCGGGAGGAGAGAACGGGCAGGGCCGGGGGTGCTCCCCGCAGCGGGAGCGTCCCTCGGAGCGCCCGGGATTGCAGGGAGCTGGGAGCTGTAATCCCGGACAGCGGGCGGTTCCCGCTGCTGTGGGGAGCTGTAGGGAGCTGTAGGGAGCTGTAGTCCCGGCTGTGGGCGGTTCCCGGTGCTGTAGGGAGCTGTAGGGAACTGTAGTCCTGTCTGTGGGCGGTTCCCGGTGCTGTAGGGAGCTGTAGTCCCTACGGCAGCCGCCGCCTACAGCTCCCGGCGGGCCGTGCCGGCGCTGCCGTGGGGACGGGCTGAGATGGCGACGGCGCGGCTGAGCGGCACCGAGAACCGTCTGGTGTCGCTGCCCCTGTCGAGGATCCGCGTCATCATGAAGAGCTCCCCGGAGGTCTCCAGCATCAACCAGGACGCGCTGTTCCTCACCGCCAAGGCCACGGTACCGGCTCGCCCTGCCCTGTCCTGCCCTCGGGCCCCCCGTGCCTCCCTTCCCCGGCTGAGGGGCCTCTGCCTTCGGAGCGCTCCCGCGGCCCGGCCGGGCTCCCCCTTCCCTTCTCTGCCCGCATCCCCAGACTGAGCTGACCTTAAAACTGCCCCGAGTCTAGAGTCATAGAATGGTTTGTGTCGGAAGGAATCTTAAAGAACATCCAGTTCCAACCCCCTGCCATCGGCAGGGACACCTTCCACTATGCCAGGCTGCTCCAAGCCTCGTCTAGCCTGGCCTTGAACACTTCCAGGGATGGGGCAGCCACAGCTTCTCTGGGTAACCCGTGCCAGGGCCTCACCACCCCCCCCAGGGAATAATTTCTCCCAATATCTGATCTAAACCTATACTCTGTCAATTTGAAGCCATTCCTCCTTGTCCTGTCACTACATGCTCTTGTAAACAGTCTCTTTCTCTCTTTCCTGTAGACTCCCTTCAGGTACAGAAATTTGATGAGTCTCTGCACTGAGTGCCCAGTATATGTGCAGTTACATACGGTGCTTCTGCCTTCAGACAGAGATCAATGATATGAGTGAATTCTTAGTCTGACCACTCAGTTTTGTTTTAATTTTTTAGGAGCTTTTTGTTCAGTATTTGGCTACATACTCCTACAAACACGGCAGAGGGAAGGAGAAGAATGCTCTGACTTATACTGACCTGTCTCATACAGCAGAAGAGTGTGAGACCTTTCAGTTCCTTGCAGGTATCGGTAACACAAGGGTAAATCCAGTGTCTGCTTTGGAAAATGAAATCTTGCTCTTAAGGCTCTGTTTTGTGAGGACCCAGTTTTCCTACCGGTCATTGATCTCCTGCTTAACATTCAACTGGAACTCATGAACTACCTCACTCTAAATGTTTCTATGTGAGTGTGGATTTTTCTGCTGCATCTAAATTATGCAGTTATACTGTATACAGTTCTCAGGATATTGCCTTAAGCATTTCTTTAATTCTAGAAGTTCCATCTGAAAGCTTTCAGCCTGTGAAAAAAGATCATTGCACATCTTTAGGTGAGAAGTTATGTGGCCCAAAAATGACACGTAGGAATCTGTAAGTTTTAAGAAACAGAGCTTCATCACATGGTCCCTCTATGCTATTAGATATATATACACACACGTTTTTACTTGGATTTTATATTAATGGCTTGTTGGATCTAAGGGAGCTGAGCACCCTGTTTTACATCAAATAATCTACATCAGCAGACAGTAAAAGTTGCCAGCAATTAGTCATGAAATAGAGTCCTTATCTTCGGCTACTTGTACCATAAGCGGGTAACTCCCTCCTACTCTTACAGTTGTGTGTGGGTCAGGCTGACTTACCTGGTTATTCACCTAAAGTTTGTTAAAAATATTTCTTTTTATACTTAATTTCATTCGTGGTTTGGATGCAACAGTATTAATGAGGCAATACAAATATTCAAATTGACTATAAAAGCCACAATTCTGCCTTTCAGATATCTTGCCAAAGAAGATCCTAGCTAGCAAATACCTAAAAATGCTTGAAAAAGAGAAGCGAGATGGAGAAGTGAGGGAAGACGATGATGAGGGTGAGGAGGAAGAGGATGAAGATGCAGCTGTTGGTGGCAGTGTTGGATCTTAAGGCCAATGGAGAATTGTTTCATAGTTGGTCCATTTTCTATTGTATAAAGGATGTTATTTTTGTGACTGAGAATCCAGATGCTGGATATATTTATACACTGAGCCATCTGCTTTTGCTTTAAGAAGTTTAGAAATTGAACTTTATACTTCTTGGAGAATGGAATTCTTCCCTCAAAAACACGGTGGGGTAGGAAGAGACAGTGCAAACCTGACAGCAGAGCTTGGTCAGGTGATTTGAAATTACTTTGTCAGACAATCATTACCAAAATTTAGAATTTCTTTCAGGCAGCTTTCAGTTCAAAAGCTCCAAAAGTGGACCAAGTCCATTTAAAAAGTCTGTAAAAACAGCCATGTGGGCACCCAGATGGGAGAGGAGGAGATCCATCCTAAGAGCTAATGTGGCTCTGCAGCTGTGGTGGTAAATGGGGTAGAAAATTATGTCAATATGTGCATCTAGAACCCTTTTCTTGAATGAACTCCACTTCGGCAGTTTCTCTTGCCTAAAAGCACATTAAAGTCTGTTAATTGTGGGTTCTTGAGAATGAGCAGTTCCTTTACCAAGTGAGTGGCAGAGATGGATCTTTCATTTGTTTTTGGTTTGGTTTTCTTTTCTTTTTTTACTACAGAACTGGCAACCGTCCCATGTAGAACTTCACATGCAACTTTTTAAAATAAACATTTTGTATAAAAACTGACAGTGGAAGCAGAAACTTCTTGTAGTTTTTTTCCAGTTTCAGTCACACACATGGTCAGTGTGGCAATGTTTGCAGAGTGCCATGGTCAGTCTGAGAGAGAGAAGGGGTGAAAAATGCCCCAGGTAAGCACATCCCCAAGTAAGGGAATGTTAACGGGTAATAAGAACCTCACACTCCAAAAAAGCTGGGCAGCAAATCAGCCAGGAATTTGTCTCAGGCAGCACCCTAACTTGGAAGGCATGGTAAAGAGTTACCAGAACTGAACAGCTTCTCTTGGATTGAAGGCACAACCACACTCAACTTCCCTTAAAACACAGCAGGGAGCTCCAGCTCATTCCATATTCTAAGAAAGCCAAATGGAACTAGGCAGGTAGCATCAGGACTGGCAGAACTACTGAGCCACACCAGAAATGATCCTAATATTTTAACAGATCAGAGGATGCTGCACTGTAAAACATTTTCCTGAAATTGCCATAAATGAAATTGTATTGTACATGCAGGAATGCTGCAGTGAGTGCTGAGGGGGGCTGGATCTCTAGGGAAATCCCCAAGGGGGTACAGGCGGAACTAAACCATTGTTCCAAGAGTTGGTTTGTGCTTTCTTTTTTTTTTTTTTTTTTTTTTTTTTTTTTTATGTTATTAAAAGTGCATGGAGATGTGTGGGAAATATGAGTGTGGAATGCTGTTTGGGGGGAGGGAATGCCGGTTTTTGGGAAAGGAAAAAAGATCCAGCAGCAGAGAACTGCACAGCGATTCTCTAGCAGGAACAGGGAGGAGGGCAACAAGCAAATACCTGAACCATGGATGGGTCACAACCAAAGAGGAACATCCTCAAACAGCCCTGGCAGGGCTCTGACCACTGCCCCATCCCCTCCCCTGCACCCTGGGGAGAGGAGGCAGAGGCAGAAAGGGACTGGGAAAGGGATTGAAGATGTTTTAATTTTTGACTTAGTTTCTCACCATCTAATTCTTCTTAATTTGTCAGTAAATTATATAATTTTCCCTCTGGTTCACATCTGTTTTGCCCATGGCAGCAACTTCTCAGTGACCTCGCTGTCTGTACCTCAACTCTTGAGCTCTTTAATCCCATTTTCTCTCTCTGTTCAAAGTGCATCATTTAACAGGAACTTCCTCAAAAGTGACCAAGTGTCCTGACCTGTTTAAGGTGGTGTGGGATTACAGCAGAGGAACACAGGCCAGGGGACACTTTCCAGGATTAATTATTATTATTATAGAAATGTTTCTATGTTTTTTTTTCCCTACAACACCAGCTTGTGAGACCCTTCCCCACCCCAGCCGCTGCTGCTCAAAGGACATGAAGTTTCCTAAACTTGCCAAAATGACAAAAGAACTGTGGTTACTAAGTATAAATTAGCACATTTCATCCCTCTTAGAAGTTTCCTGTGGGATGATGAACATATTCTGTAAATTCCTGAGCCCAGAAGAATGTGTACACCCTTCTGGATTCATTCAGCCAGAATCCTCCACGGGGATTTCAGAGCTGCCAACATTTGCCACAGCCTTCTCCCAGGCCCTGTATCTGCCAAAGCTTGTTGCCATCAAACCACTGAAGGGTTATTTGTTTTCCCCAGGAGCTGACACAGAGGAAAAACCTCATCCAATTCAAAGTGGTGTTTCAAAAAACAAGGGAAAAAATAAAGGGAAGAGACAGCTCTGACAGTATTTCATACTGCTGAGTAAAACCAATCTGTATTTCCAGGGTTGGGCTCCCAACGGAAGCTCCTTGGCATACCTGCAATTCTGTTTGATGCTTTATAGTCACCACCAGGTGCTACGTTTTCTTCATTTAAAAATTGATCACTGTAGGGATTCACTCAGAAAGAAGAAGGGGAAAAAAAAGCATTTCAGGCATGTTCATCTTCCAAAAACAATTCCAGGATTACAACTTGGAAGCAGTTAAAGCAGCAGGGATTGTCTCTGGCTGAGCACGGAGTGGGTGAAAGCACAGGGAAACATCCAAACACAAACAAGGGGAGAAATGCAAGGGAGGGAAATGGACTAGAGATTTTGGCAGTCTCACAGTGCACAAGCAACTGCAGAAAATGGCCAAATATTAAATGAAAAGACATCAAACAATATTTTGTAAAGATGAGGAATTTTATTTTATTGACATACTATGAGGCAAAACAAAATTGACACCATACAAAATAACTTTATAAAATATCATTCACATCATTATTTTGTCAGGAATTACAGCATTCTGAGCTTGTTACAAGTTTTATGTTTTGAGGTGAAAAACACTATGCTAAATCTTTAGTATTACTTGTATATATACAGTAAGAAACCAGAACAGAACCTGTTAGGTTTTTCATGAGTTTATTGCAAAAGTAGTGCAAACTATTTTTACCTTTCAAGCTGTAAAACAAACTTGGAAAAGGACCCATCTAAGCTTAAAAGCATGACAATAAATGCTCAGTTTCACAGCCTTTGAAGCTTCCTTCAACAGTTCTCAACAAAAATTCCCCATCTCTGCATATTTTTAGATTTTCACTGACTCGGAAATGAAGGAGTAGAGGGTGGATCTGCAGCAGAAAGCAGGCCAAGAGCAGGAGAGTCCTGCTCCAACCTGGGGCACTGCTCTTACCCATGGATTTGGGGAATCACCCCAAAACACCCACCAATGGGGCAGGTTTGGTCACTGTGTGCCCCCATTAATCAACTGCCCCTTTCCACACTCGTATTTGAGAAAAGAGTCAAGAAAGCAGAATGAGCGAAAAAACAAACAAAACAAAAAAAAAATACCAACATAATTAAGAATTAGGAACATGTATTGTCTGTTTTAGGAATATAGTATCCTTTTCCTCCTTTTCCTGAAGTCCATAAAGCAAATTTCCATGGTCCCCCCTCCCCGTGTGTATACACTGCAGGGCACATCCCATCCCAAAGTCCTGCAGGATCCCAAGGCAGGATACTACATTCTGTGAGATCCAGAGAAAACAACGGCCTAGAACACTATCAGGGTCCCCCAAAGCAAACAGGTAGCTAAGTAATCTCCTAAAAAACCAGAAAAGCAAACAAATGCTACATGAAAAATGTTAAAGAAACAAAATGCAGCATATTCAGGCTCTTTTTTTTTTTTTTAATCTTGAGGTACCTATATAAATATTACCTTCTGCCCAAAGTACGATTTGTTTTGTTAAAAAACTAAAGTCCTTACCACGAGCCAATTGCAGGGCAAACATTATTACTGAGAAAGTGCAACCATGCTGATCATTTATCTGCAGCATAATAAAGGATGATTAGGCTTTAGAAAATATAGCTTAAGTCTAGACCTGATGGAGCAGTTTTATAAAAACACTGAACAGAGGCATTTTCCTTTTGTTTGAGTCTCTCTGCAATAGAAAGCCTTAGGAAACAGCGTGGAAGTCCTGCCATGATGGAATGTCAGCACTTTTACAATCCCATATATAGATTTTTATTTTTCTTTTAATATTTAAACTAAATACAATTTTACAGCAAAGATTTCCCCTCTGTAGTAGGTACTAGTAAAAAGTGGATTTTTAAAAAAAATTTTAAACCTCAAAAAAATGATAGCGTATCACAACTTAAAGCTTTCCAAAAAGGAATTCTTTTTGAGTAAAAAAGGTTCACGTAGTAGAAAAAACTTACACATGGTTGTAAACTCTTACATACAAAACTGTGGAAAGGTCAATGATGTTTTATTCCTTCACCCTTACATGTGTATCCCTTCATTTTATACTTATATATATACACATACATACACAAAGTCACGTGCTATGTGCATATACAGAGACACTGATGTAGAGATTTGGGGTCAGGATTAAACATTTCCAAAACCTTCTTTACTGGGTATTTCTCTTTGCCTAGGTCAGCTGTGATACTTTATTTTTTTCAACTTGCTACACCAAAAAGTATTTTCAAATTCAGTTTTTTGTAGCGCGGTTAAAAAACATTTGCTGTTTTTAATCAGGAAGTTTTGATTGTTGTGCACTGGGGAAAAAACCACAAAGGCACAAAGAATAGAACTCAAATCCAAGATTGTTGTCTCAGAACAAGAAACCCGAGGGTTTGGGCCGTGGATGGGGTTGGTTTGGTCGCCTTTGCCAAATCTCCTTGACAATTTGAGTCATTAGCACCCAACTGGTAACATGAGGTAGATCCAAATTGAAAAAAAGTAAAATAAAAGCAAGCTGGGTCCCCAACACTTTTTTTTTTTTTTGCCTCTATTTAAAATGTTTTAAGGATCCTATGTCAGTCATAAGAAGTGGAAGCGATGGCACCTACCCAAAGCAAGCGCGGAATTCAAGAATGGCTTTTTTTTTGGGATGTAAAATTTGAAGTGTTAAATCACAATCCTCCTTCAGGCAGAGATTTGCTGGCAGGGGGAGGGAGGAGATCATGTCTGACAACAAGAACAACAAAAAGCTGGGATTTGGGAACGCCTGTTTGGGGTCGGCTGTCAGAGGAACGGCCGAGAGCCCGGACAGCCAATGCCCAAAGAGGCATCACAGTACAGACAGCTACAGGTGTCCCTGGATTCCCAGGTCAGGAGACTGCCTTTACTAACACTGAAGCTCGACAGGAACACCCTCCTGTCGTTAAACAGTATTTTTGCATGCTCTGAGAGAGGAATCTGACACGTTTATCATTTAGTTAAGGCTTATTTTAAAGTGGCGTGGCCACACAGCATCACACAAGTGCTCACCTACAGCAGCGAGAGGAGCAATGGATTAATTGCTGTTAATTAATTAATTAACACCCCCTGTGACCCCCCCCCAGCTCTGCCAAGTGATGCCTCCAACCTCGATGGGAAACCCTGCAGTGCCAGGGATGCCCTTCAGAGTCAGCTGAGGGTAATTCTGGGCCTGGTTTTGCATTACAAGTGCTACTCTCACCCAGCCAGCACCAATCATTTCTATACTGCAAGCTCCAACAGAGATGCAACACACACAAAACTACTCAATACACATTTAGTACCACTTGGAACGACCTTAACATCATATATCTTTTTTTCTATTTAAAAAAAAACAAAACAAAACAAACAAAAAAACCCCACAAAAACTAACTTTATATGGTCACAGAAACATTTTGATTGGAGGGAGTACTTACAATATGAAATTTCTGGATTGATTTTTGGTTCTTTTTTCTTCAGTTATTTTATAAAAAATAATTTAAAATTTTAAACTATTAAAACAGAAAACTAAAACCTTAACAGATAAAGTCAGTTAATTTTGCAATGTACCAAAATTAAAGCAAAAAAAAATATTTTATCAATACATTCTGTTTTCCATTTCACCCTCCCAAGATCCTGCCAACCACTCTGCTGCACAGAAATCCAGGGCTGGATCTTTATTATCAACTGCCCTAAATGTTGAAATCTTTATGACTGTACAACTAATAAAATACTGCAAAAGCCAGGGAAATTGTGCTTGTTATTTCCAGCCAAATACTGTCTTTGTATCTTTTACAGACAGCCTATACACTGTCCCCTCTCCTGTCACACACGTGTGTGTACACACAAACAGGGACACACACAGATCTAGAAAATCTGCTAAGCTTTACCAACAAATTACAGAAAGGAAGTAACACTCTTCAGGATAGCACAGAACTTTGTCCAATGTAATTCCTCATTGCACCTCACTGAAAATTTGATTTTCCAAGATAAATCTAAAGCTTACTTTTTTCTCTTATTTTCTTTAATATGCAATTATGAAGTTGTCATTTGTAAATGAGATGAGCAATTGAAGGGCTCAGTTGTTAAGTTTCACAAAAAATATATCAAGGAATGACAAATCTGGGTGAAATGCTGATTTTTTAATAGCATAGAAACAGTGCTATAAAACAGTAAAGATTGAGCACCCCACAGCTGATGCAGAACTAACTTTGGTGAAGTCTCAAAACAAAATTCACTGCATGTCATGTTGGCACATGAGAGGTCTGATCCAAGCCACAGCAGCTGAGGTTTTGAGGTGCCCATAAAGCCCAGACAGGATCTGCTTTGAGTCAAGTACATGTCAGGCAAAAATGTGCAATTTCACAAAAACTGGCACGAGTGAGGCTTCCTCTATTCATGGCTCTAAAACCAGGAAAAGCTGATAAATACAGAAGAGTCCACATTCTATTTTTTTTTTTTCTGACAGGAAATCTAACCTAACAAAGCACAAACAGCACCAGCCAGGGGATTAGAGACTCCTAAGCTTGCCTGCCTGCTGACCTGTTCACCATTCATGCTTGCCAAGCACACTCAAAAACACCCCCCATAAAATTACCACAAAAGTTTAAACTTGTATTTTGGGGACAACTCCTAGGCTTGCTCCCAGGTCAGACAGCATCTGCAATCCCTGCTGATGCGCAGAGAGAAGCTGTTCCAGCAGGTGGTTTAGTTGTGCTTAAAGAAGGGAGGGAAAAAAAAAAACAAATTAAAGTCCATGGTTCAACAGCACATCTAATATGGGAGGAAAAAAATACAACTAAAACCTGTGCACTCCTGAGAACCCTGTGGAAAGGATTATTCCCTTTGATACAGAACTGCCATGCAGCCCAAGGCTCCTCAAACCACACAGGGAGGTTGGCTGGTGGAAGAGCAGCCACAGGCAGGTTTACAATAGATCTGCTGAGGCAGCACATGGACAAATCCAAAGAAAAGGCTTTTTTGGGGGATGCTTAGGTGGGAGGAAGGAACAGCCACAGCCTGCATCTGGTGCTGTGGGTTTGTAGTGCTGCCACATGCAGAACTCCCACAATTAACTCCTGCCAACCTCTCATCCCTCCAGATCCAGCAGTGCCCTGTCCCAGCCCCAACCAAGTCAGAGCTCCCTGACACCACAAACAGACTTGGGGAGCTCCTGCCAGCCTTCCCCGTTTGGGATGGGGCCAGCAGATGGGTGCAGGGTGGAGGATTTCTGAAGGGCACTTACAGGGAAGCCAGAAGGAAAACTAAGAATTGAACTGTCACCTTAACAAGTGTCTAAACTGGCAATTTTGCAAGGAAATGTCTCCCCTCACTTCCTCTCTCATTTCCCCAAGGGTTGGGGCACCCAGTGTTTCTCTTCTCTAGGGCATGAGCAGCACAGAGCTCCTTCACTTCTTAAACATCCTGATGACCCCAGCTCTGCCTTGTCTGGAAAACACAAAGCTCTGCTCCCATCAACGACAAAGAAGCTGTTCAGCATCTCTGCACAGTGCAAGCCCTGCCAGCAATAGTGTCCACAATCTGCAGTGCACAATGTAGTGAAACATCCTCTCCAAAGCAGCCATTTACCCTGCTCTTCACACTTTTGGGGGGGCCTTGTTAAATCATGACTGAGAACTGAGCCACATTGTCAGGATTTTACCCCATTCAGTTATTAATGAGCTGATTTATAATGGTTTATTCAGTCACTTGCAAACTCTGGGTTCCAGAAAGTCAAGACATAAGCAACCTCCTGCCATGGATGAGCCTCATTAGTGTCTAGACCCAGAGATTAAGGGAAGGAAATTGCAGGGAGCACAGAATCCCAGGAAACTCACTCTGATAGGCCAAAATCCACAGCAGAAAGCCCAGCTACTCATAAATAAAAACAACTTTAACACTCCTACGAAACCACACCAGCACACTGTGTTCCAACAGGTATTTCTGTCAGCAGAGTGGTTTGTTCTGAAATGAGGAAGCTTGTTTGGAATAATTGTAAACAAAATCTGATTTATTAACACAGTTTTCTACAGTTTCATTTCAGGTCACTTAAAGCACCCTCAGTCCACATGCACTTATGTCAAGGTTGAGTTTTGGCCAAGGCTTTGCACAGAACTGACACTAAATATTCCCAAGATGAACATAGTCAGGTCTGGGGTTGTTTTTTGGTTTGGGGCTTTTCCCCCATATTTTAGTTTACAGTTTTCTAAGCAGGGAATAAAGTATTTTCATTCTTACAGTCACATGTCAACTTATCTAAAAAACATATTTAAAAAATATTGCAATACATATTTTTTGCCTCAGAATCAAAATGTATTTCGAGCACCTTCATGTCATCTACAGAGAAAACCTGTCATTTTCTGACCAACAGGTAAAGTACAGAAACATTTTTCATTTGGAAAACAATACAGAAACTCAAGTGAAGGGACAGGTCACAGAGGGAGCTGCTGCTATGGAGTGACCCTGACCAGCAGCACATGTACCAGATGTGCCACTTGCCAGGTCTGGTACCCTCTCAATAGACACGGATGCCTCTGGAAGGCAGAGGGAAGGCTGAGCAGCCAGCCAGGATCCCAGCACGGCACTGCCACTTCCCAGTAAGGAACAGACCAGGACAAACCCAGTCCCTCTGGGAGCATTTTGGCTGCTTAGTTGGAGGTTCGCTTCAATTAATTCTTCAGTGAAGGAATACAGGAGGTAGCCTTGAACTGCACCTGCTTTGTAACTAAAGATTCTCACAAACACACTTTTGTAGTGATTTGGCCAAGCAATTACATTCAAATTAACACTTCGAGGAAACGACTCTGACAAAGCAACTGAAACACTAAATGGGACTAAACAGATTCTGTGCCACACCAAGCACACACAGCACCCCCTTCCCATATCATTTGGATTAAACCCTCTCAGAATGCATCTTTCCAGTCATTAACCCTCAGAAACAGAAGGCAGAACTTGCTGGTTTGCATCCTCATGTCAGACCATGGGGCTGGATTTGGGGTCTGTCCTGTCCCCGAGGGTTATGGAAGCAAAAGGCAATTGCTGATGGATGGGGGGATCCATGAGCAGCCAGAGGTGACACCATTCCCTAGCTCAGAGCACTGAAACATCCACTCCACTGCCCAATCCCACACCATGCAGAGACAGACATTGTAACTGGATCCCAAATCCCTGTCATTCCACTAATTCTGCCACATCCACTGGTCCTGCTTCTACAACACAGGAATCAGACAAGCAAGGAAAACCTGTGAGAGCTACATCTGATAATCCAGATGTTGCATTAATGCCATCAGTCATCAAAATGATACAAAAATTGGCATTTGAACCCTGCACAGACAATAAGCACAGTGAGAGCTGATAAACTGCATCTCTGTGGTCTGGGAGAAATGTGCACAGAGGAGAGAAGGAAGAAATGTTTTATAAATTCAGACAAACCCTAAGTATTTCCACTGTAATACAGCAACTGTGCCCTTCCTGGATTGATACCAAAATGCACACAAAGTATAATGGCATTTAACACCAAAGCTCCTGTTTCAACACTGGAAACACATGGCAGTATTCTGGAATATATAACTAGGAATGGTATCCCCAGCATTTCAGTATTTGCTGTACAGAGCACTATTTACAGTATTTTCAAACAGCTACAGCAGATGCAAAAAAAAAAAAAAACAACCTTACAGTAAAAAGGGAGTTTAAAAAAAAAACAAAAATCAGTGCAATTACCTTCTACTTGAAGTTTTCCTTAAGAAAGATGGCATCTGTGCATCAAGAAGCATGTTACCAAATGGAATATAAAAGTACAAAACAAAGGACTGCCTTGCATTAGGAATGGGGAAAGCCACACAAAGAGAGATGCTATGGCAGAAGAAGAGTATTAAAAATAGGAAAACAAGTGAGTTTAATTACACTGGTCTCAAGTGTGAAAATAATTGAGAACTCTTCTTACATTCATTAAGTTAATGTGTAAAAGATGTCTTTAAAAAAAAAAAAAAGTCCCTTATGGGTTATTTACGCCACCAGTGATGCTTATTTGACTGAGTGTGCTATTTAATCAAAAGCCTTTGGGCACATACAAGAACAACTTTAGTCAGAGAGAAAAACTTAGAAGCATCTTAGAAACGTCAATCTTCTCAGAAAAAAAACCCTCAACTCCTCACACCTACTCTCCAGAAGTTTTAATTTGAAAATCCTTGTGGAAAAACCTCTTGTGTTATGTTACAAAAATGATTCAACAAGAACTAGACTCTGTTACAACAGATAAAGGCTGCAGGAGTTACTAAGAGAGGCAGAATTAAAGCCAAACCTTCACAACCTTTTTGCTTTTACAATCAGGAAACGCTGCCTGGGGGCCTGGATGGAGATCAAAGGTATTTGTTACCTGACAGATCAAGAAACAAGGGAATTCCTATGCCAAAGCATCTGGAACATGGAAGATCATTGATTGTAATTCACAAAGTCAAATATTCTAAAGCAAACCAAGCCAAAATAAGGAGCTCTAATAAAACAAGTGATCTCACTCTGTACATCAGTGCATTCACACACACACAAGTGTTTAATTGCATAGGGCTGTCTTAAATGCCACATAAAGGCAGAGACAAATCCACCTCCTTCCAGCATTTCCCAACAGGACATTTACTCCTAAGGATCAGCTCAGTTGTTTCCTGGGTGCTGAACAGATGGAGCAGACTCATTACTCTGTTCAGCCACTGGAGCAGAGATTTCCACCACCAAGCAAACCTCATTATTGCATTACATTTTGCACATCAGGGAAAAAAAGACAAACTTTTAATTATTTCGTATCTTCTGATAGTACTTGTCACCTCCCAAGAGGAGCATTTCACACTTGCTGATGCTGTTTTGGGGGGGTTGTGCAGTGGGGCTCCTTTGCATGGGCTGGAAAATGCCCCAAGTGCCTGAGAGTAGCACAAATTTGGTTATTGCTGACCTGACCTGCACAGTGACCCAGAGACTCAAGAATTGTGACCTCAGCTGGCACTTCTCCACCAGCAACCTGGAGGAGACTGAGACTTCTTAAGCTTTGTGTTGACCTGAGATGTTGCTGTTCTACACCAGACATGTGGGAGGTACAGAATAAAAAAATAATACTAGGATTTTAGGTGTTTGTGGTGGCTTTTTTAGACAGGAGATATTTTTGAATATGTAATTTATATTACAAGTATTCTCAGAAAGAGAGGTGCTGGACTGCCAGCATGCTGTACTTTACAAAGTAATACCTAATCAGTTTTTCTGGGGGGGGGTTAATGCTTTAAATTATTCACTAATTCACCACTGGTGGGAGGGAAAAGGAGGGAGACACAGGGCATAAAGAATTAGCAGTATTAGAGGCCTAGAAAGATCTGTAAAAGGTTAAAATGTCCTGAAATGCACATAAACATCCCAAGTTCTTCATACTTAGGGAAGGAAAGCTACGCAGAATTTCTGCTCCTTCCAAGAGGATCCACAAACAACAACTACTCTCAGATTAAGGGCCTGCCTAAAACTCCTTTTCTCACAAAGGAAACATCTTAAATAGGATGCAATGCAGTCCCAGGCTGCTTCAGAAATGAGATTTGAGGTCAAGACAGATCCTGCCCTCCTCACACCCCATCTGACCAGCTGTACAATTCCATTGTCCCAGATCTGCATGGAAAGAGGGGGATGAATTTCACATCCAAGAGGTCTCTGCATAACAGACAGCAAATAAGTTAAATGATGTCTTAAAATGGATGCTCTTTATCCTATTTGATAAGAAGAATTCATATAAAAATAATTCTTATATAAAACTCTGCCAAATGAATATTTTCACTGAAATAGGAAAGCTCTGAAGGAAACAGAGAGAAGTGCAACACACCCACCATGGGGAGGATCTGCAGCTTAGGGGTACTTGAGGGGAGGTAGGTACAACCTCGCTGGCACACAGCAAGACAGACAATGCTACCTAGGATTTGCTTCAAATTTACAGAAATCTGAATTTATAGAACTACGACCAAGAAGACACTCTGAGCCAGCAGCCAAATCACCCAATTAGAATAGTACAAATATGATTATTCCATTAACAGGTTCTACATTTCACCTACAAAATACCAACAACCAACACACCGCTACAAGGTGAAGATCTGAACTGGAATTATGTACCTAAAAGTCTTTATGCAGCACGGGTTGGGCATTTTCTAGCTTATCCAACATCACCTGGTTGCAGCTGATCTGCTCTGTGGCCCAGAGCTCTGCATGGGTTAAAGCTACTCCAACATCCCAGTGGCCAGAGGTAAAAGTGTCCAAACAGAGACTGAGCAGCTGCTTGGAGAAAAGGGAAAAGACAAAGCAAAATCCATCAGTGGAAGAGAATGAAGGTTTTCTAACCTGCCTCTCAGCATCTTATTTCAGTTATCCCATGGAAAACAAACAAGATCAAGTCAGCATAAACAACTTTCCTGGGCTTTTTCCATTTTCTCCTAAACCTGCTCATGGCATCGTCATTAGTGCAATGGTTTACGTGTGTGTTATGGTTTTTATGAATCCAGTGTGCAAACTAATAGAAGCATCTGTCTAATAAGTATCAGTTTTAATTAATGCTTCTCCTAAGAGAATGGCAAAACTCTCACGTTTCCTACGGATCTCTTATGCATAATGAAGAGAGTTTCACCTCCTTCCCTAAGTAAACTTCAGTTTCCTAGTTTTTCTCTTTACTGCATAGATTCTCTGAATTCTGCCTAACTTCCAGAGAGCCACTCTCCTCTAGCAGAGCTCCTGCTTAACACTACTAAACATATAAATAAAATACAGTTGTTTTGTGCTTGAACGAATGTAGAATGTTGGTCTTGTGTGCGTCTGAACCGCAGAGGTAAAACCTGCTGTGCTGTGTGCACAATGAAAAAGCCTTTCTGCAAATCCCAAGCTACAACAGACACTGGCTGCATCATCTTTCTCCTCTCACCACGTCGATTGCATATATTTTTTTTTTTTGCATTTGAAGAGTAATGTCCCCACAAAAAGGATTTTACTTTCTAAGTTCAAAGCATTCTTGATATGTTAACAGAAGTATAATGAGCACTCCTTAGTAAATAAAAATAAATAATAGCATCTAGTCTATCACATTAATACTGTGAAACATATATAAAATTTACATTAACTCAAACAACAGTGAAAAAGGATTGTACTGTATTTATCACCACAGACCCGTATTCTTTAGAGACTTTGGAAAGTAAGTGTCACAGTCCTGTATGACAAATCCTAAAGTTAGCTGTCAGTATGACTTTAAAAAAATCTATACAAATTTTTTTAAATGGCACATTTTCCTCTGCCAATCCAACTGGAGATATTAAAAGCTTAGGTACAGGCTTATTGTTTTTCTTTTTTTTTTTTTTTTAAATTCATCTTTAGTCTACGAAAAACATTTTAAAATGCAGCACAATAAAAAACATTCAAGAACAAGCTTCAGAAAATACATTTGCCCTTAGACACACAGAGACTAATTTGAGAATAATCTTTATAAGACAGTTAGAAACCAGAAGTTTGTCACGCTCTTATTTTGAAAATAAAAATTTTGTAAATGCATCTAGAATAATCAAGGCTTCATAAATACTCAACATATGCTTTGCTTTTCTTTGTACTAAATGCTGACTCACAGCGTTTTAGCTCATCAAACCTCAGTATGAATTAGATCTTTTCAAATTATCAAAAGCAACTCAATGAACAGCTAACTGAATGAACAGTTTTGTGGGTTGGGTTGTTGGTTTGGTTTTTTGCTTTTCTTCCCTAAGCCCTGAGATTGCAGCTCTTGATTTAATTATAAAATCTGGGTCTGTTTTATACCAAGCAGCTCAGAGATTTTTGGCAAACCACATTTCTGACAACAGTGGGGTTTGTACAAGAATGCAGTTTGTGATCAAGTCTGAAATTCTGGACGGAAGGCTTCCTTGCAAATGGGAAAGAAAGAAAGAAAAAAGATGCATCACTCATTGCTGGCTGTCCCTGGGCTGGGGCATCTGTTGGTCTAAGTGCAGCTGGTCTGGTGTGAATCCAACTCTGCCTTGTCCGGAGCCACTGAACATTAAAACATGTCAAGCAAAGTACATCGTGCGCAGCGTGTCCTGGTGCACCTGGACTGCCTTAGCAAGTGCTTGGTGATCTCTGCCATTGCTCTGGCCAGAAGTGTGGCTTCCTTCAGCACTGGAAGAGAAGGGAGGGGGGGGAAAACAAAAACCAACAGGTTGCAGGGTGGGAAAGAAACCCTATTTAATCTGCCTCTCCTTGCACGTGTTTCTGTATCATTAGTTTCTTCTGAGCAGAACAGTCAAACATTAATTACCCTTAAAAAAGCACCACTGAGGTTCTGAAACAGAAAACAGCACGTACAGGAACGTCTGCTGCATAATTCAGTGGTGAGAGCAAACCCACCATTGAACTGCTGAGGACATCACCAACCCCAGAATTAACAAGCCCACTGCCTTCCAATCATGCAAAAATGCAGAGCTCTGAACTCACCTGTCGTGCTCCTTATCCACCAGATGGTACCTGGCTCTGAAGGCCACCAGGTGTGCATAGTATGCTGGAGCAGGGATGGAGACGGAGCGCGTGCAGCGCACGTACGTGTGGCACAGCTGGTAGGTGAGGATCTGCAGCTCGTCCGACGAGAAGCGATTGTCATCCCAGAGCACGTGGTAGTGGGAAGGTCTGCTTGTCCCCTGGAGTCAGATCACACAGCTCATCAGCATCCCCAAACATCTCCTGAACTCCCATCTCTGCAGGGGAACTGCAGTGAAATGGCCGCTTCCTCTAAAGCCACAGGCAGCAGTTCTACACACTTCAGCTGATTTTTCCTTTAAAAGGCAAACAACCTCCTTCCTTGCTCCCTACCAAGCTAATCCCTTCCCCTTTTTTGATGGGACTTCTCAAAATTTCACTTCTGAAATTAAATGATCATACTGAAATGCACTTTCATCTTGAAAACCTCAGATCTGACAAAAAGTCATCAGATAACGTAGCTTTAGTACAAACATTGTCAGTTAACGAGTTACCATGCCACACAGAATGTCTTACCTGAATCCCAGCATGACTACACAGGTAGAAGTCAAACTCTGAGGGGTGGGTGATTTTTGTGTCCACTGTGGTACCAGCTGGAATGTTTCCACTTTTTCCAACCTGTGTGAACAGGAAATGCAAAGACACTGAGGCACAACACAAATGTTTTTTTTTTTGTCTTTCCAGCTGCATAGCCAGGAAAACAAACACAAGAAAAAGATCTATATAAAGCAAAAAGTGAAGAAAGAATGTGTAAAACTGAAATTTTGTTCCAGCTGAACATCTGGAGTGTCTCTACTATGGAGAAAGGAAAAAAAAAGAGACAAGCTGCAAAATCTTCTTAAAAAACTACCTAAAAAGATTTGTTTTTCTGAATAATGCAAAAAGAAGCTCCTGCAACTGATCTGTCAAATCTTTGCTCTTTCCATCTTCCCACTCCAGGACAGGAGTACCTTTTCCTGTTTATACCTGCAAGGGGACAATCTTTCCTTGTCAGACAGGCCACCTCTTCCCTCAAAATAAATTCAAAGCAGAATGTCAAAATACTCTTTTACTTTCAAATAATTTAACATCTGTAATCACAGCATTTATTAATATAACAACTACCTTCATGTCAGTTTTGGGAGTTACTAATTATTGCCTTGAAGCCTAGTGGGCTCCAAGTGCTCCCACAGAGAAGTCTGACAGAAGGAAAAGGAACGTGGAAAGCCCAATCTGTGAGGAACTCTCCATTCTCAGCAGCTGCTCCCTTCCTGCACTTGGGGAGTCTCCTCTCCATACAGAAAACACCAAAATCAGCTGGGGGCATGTGATCTCCACCCAGAAAGTGCCACAAATGAAGAGTAATTGGTGACTTGGCTGCCTGCTGGATGTTTGGGGGTCCCAATCAGAACGTACCCGTTCGTTTTTATCCGTGCAGAAGAGTCTGGTGTGGTGCCTCTTCTGCACCACTATAAATGTGATGCCAGGCTGATAATCCTTCTCCAGTTTAATGCAAGCCTCCCTGATAGCCAGCAGCTCGTGGTGGAGAACCTGAGCCACACAGAGAGAGAGATCTGATCAACATGAACCATTGCCATCATACAAATCACTCTTATTTATCTACACATTTCTTTTATTTATCCACAGATAATTTATCATGTTCCTTTCTTGCTGTCACTCAGAGTAATGAGATGTCAAAGCTTTCAGGACCAAACCGTAATTTTTTCCCCAGATGAGGGCAAATTACATCAGCAGTTTCCTGAGCCAGGAGAGAGCTGCTTCCACATTCATTCAACTCCAAGCACAAGGCTTGGACTAATAACCTGCATGTCAAAACCTTTTTAACTACCAAATACAAACAAAACAGACTGATTTTTATTTTTTTTTTTCAGACTAGAACAAAATCCAGAAGTGCTCAGCTGCTCTTTCCCAACTTTGTGCAGTCCCATGCAGGACTACAGACATCAATAATAAGGAAAGTTGAACAAATCAAAAAGCAATGATTTGGAAAGGGGGTTAATTATACAAGAAAAAGTCATTGAAAACCAGTGAAAATTAAAAAGAGGATATATTAAAAGTTCATTCAAGGATTATTTTATCAATTCAAGTTTAGCAAGTGACCTTTCCTCTTTTCCCTCTGGATTCTGAGAAGTTGGCTCAAATCTCTATCTTTTATTTACATACATAAATACTGGAAAGAAAAGTGTATATAAATACCTTTAAAATATATAGAAAAATATTTCATAAAATATGGCAAGCAAACAAAATAAATATGACAAAGTATCTGATGAGTTTTATCAGGAATAAAAATGACTGAAAATACGGTATTTATTAATCCTAGTTTTAAAAAAAAATATTTTTATTTATCCCTCAAGTTCTATGGGATACAGTCTTACTAATATATCCTAAACAGGAAAAAGATGTGGAACATAACCTGAGTGCTAAAACTACACTTTTCACTTATAATTCTGTAAGGGGAAATATTTTAAAGGGGAAAAGTGTTTTCAACAGCACATGAAAAATATGGAAACACTTCTCCTGCCTGCTTGGTTAGAATCCAACAAATTTGTTGAGGGAAGACTTGTTGAGATTATACTTCTTGTACCTCCAACCATATAAAGGTGGAATGACAAAATTCCATTACTAGCACAAAACTACACCACCAGTATTTCAAAAAGACAAATATCACCTGCTGGAACTGGCCCTCAGAAACACCATCCCTGTAGAAGATGATGCGAGTTGGTTTGAATCTCGTGGATTTGTAGAACTGGATCAGCAGCTCCCTGACCATGGCAGCCAAATCCTGGATGATTTCCTGGCGGTGCTGCTGCACCCGCACAGTGGCACAGTAACGGTTGGGATGAGCATCCATGCTTCCCACAACCTGGGGAAAAACGCTTAGTATCAAACCTGAAAGCACTTTAACAAAGGTATTTCATGAGATAACTGCACTGTCTTTAATGGCATCTTGCACACTGAGTGATTGCCTGGCAAAGATGTATTTGAAATTAAAATGTGCTTGGAAACAGCTCTGGGTTTAGTCCACCTGTGGCAGCACACTCTGCTGAAAGAAAAAAATTGTTTTAAATCTAAAAGACTCATTTCCTGTTTGCACCTACAGGCACTTAAAAAGTCAAACACAGTTTAGAGCACTGATACCATGAAACCATTGAAGTGAGTTCAGTCTGCAGCACAGGAGTTTGAACTCTGGGACACCAAGCCTGTTTTTTGGATCCATCAAACTGAAAGGGTGATGGACCACAGAAATATCCACACCCTTCATCAAGCGAAGGGATTTTTCTGTTAATGAAATGTTAACATCCATATCCTGTAAAAGTGGCATAGGACTTAAAAAATAAACAAAAAAAACCCTAAAGAAGTGAGCACATCACCTGGTTTTCCCTAGACACACAAATGTAACTTTTAAAAACATACATAACATCACCAGAGATCTTAATCATTAAACAATCCTGAGCAGCCACTACAGGTGTTTGACATAACACAAGCTAAAGACCATTCCCTGTATTTAAGAAGTACATTTCCAAGAGATTACTGCACGTTTTGTGCTTTCTGGAAGCTTGAGTCCTCAGAAACCACAGCTGAGCCAGCCTAGTTCCCAATCAGCAATGAAGCAATTCTGAACATTTCTAAGTGCTGCAGAAGCCGATTTAAACATGCACCAGCTCATTATGAGGCTGCTGATAAATATCAGCTCCCAGAAAAGCTCCTCTGTGTATCAGCAACTCAGGCATTTTATAAACTAATATACACATTTAAGTAATTAGCATCAGAGCAAGCTCTCTGAAATTTCAATAAATTCCTGCAGAAAAATAATTTATAATGCTATAATTAGGCAATCAGAAGCAATGGACCACATAAGGATTGAAAGCAATAAAATGCATTAGAGCTGAGCAGCAGGAGGCAGCTGGGGTGGAAGACCAGGACACAATTTACTCACTGCAGCAATGGAAGGCTTTTTCCCATCCCCAGCTGGTGGGTGAGTTACATCTGCACCAAGGAATATGACAGGCTGCTGGAATACAGGGGGTCTGGCAAAGAGAAGGGAAATTTGTAAAAGCAGCAAGATTTATGCTTAATAAAGCACATTAAAATTCAAATAAACAGCACTCTGTACTCCTGAGTGAACTCATCAACAACTGGCACTTGAACTGAGTTGGTCACTTGTCCTGTGGCAGTAATTAAAAATCCTGATTAAGGTTCTCATGCTAAATACTTAGGCAGATTTTTAAAGCACAGCTAATTGTTGCTCTTAATTAAAAATTAGTTTAAAAATATATCTAGTTTTTTCTAACTTGTAAAATTGCAGTTTTTAATCAACTGGACCAAGGACAGGAGTAAAAGTTGATCTCTTAGTAACAAATGGAATCTGATAAAATTAAAGGACTGTGCACATATGCAGATGCTATGAATAAAAATATTTTCCCAAATAAAAACCAGTCTTGGTAAGGAAGTCCAAAAATAGTAGGTATCAAAGTCATTATTTGCAAAGTACATTTTTTTAAAAACTGAGCTTGAAAGTTTTAAACAAATCTTTAGGTTAATATATTAAACCACTGCACCAAGAGAGGAACACCAAAGCACTACAACACAAGTTTTACACTTCAATTCTATTCCTTAATAAAACAATTTCAAGCAGGAAATCTTGAGCCACTGTCATTTCTTTGTGGGTGCATGGGGGAATGATTTAATGGTTATAGAGATAAATTAATCTGTTTGCAGACCTTCTTTAGAAGAAATGGGAAGGTAATGTTGAGGATAAGGCTTTTTTGTTTTTTTCCCTTTTTTTTTTCTCTCTCAGGGAATTTTCTTCCCATTTGTTGCCTTATTGATGATGAATGGAGAATGGACTGTACTTAAGAGACAAAAAACAGCTGGGTGCCTTGGAATTCTGTTAAATTTTTTTGTTGTGTTTGGGTTTTGGTATAGCTGCTTGTTTGTCTACACACACACACACATATATATATTCTAGTAAAAACCTGTTCTTCTTTTACCCACATTTTTGCCTGAAAGCCTCCAAAGTTACAATAATTTGGAGGGAGGGGGTCATCTCTTCCATTCCAGGAAGATTCTCATCTTCCTTTGCAGGCACCTGTCTCCTAACCCAGCAGTTTTTGGAGCCCAATGTGGGGCTTGAGGACATCAAGAGGAATGGTGAAAAAGGAATAATAGTTCCTGAGTAACTTAATTTTGTGTGCTGAACACAGAAACTTCGTAGGCATCATAACTTACAGTGGTTTGGTTGGCATATGGTTGTGGCTACATTTTTCCCATTTGCAGCTCCTTATCTAAACATGGATTCTATGACTAAGGGTACTGTGCCTGTTTGCCAGTTTGCACCACGGGTCAATAAGGTGAGCAATTCCTGGATTTTAAACTTCCTCTGGAATGTGGACACATGGCTGTCCAACTATCACAGACTGAGTTCGTGTCTGTGGGGTTTCATTAATTATGGTGCCCATTGTGAAAAAGCAATGCAAGGGGGAGTTTTTCCCCAGTCATTCATCCATTTCATTCCCATCCACCTTTCAAGGGGTTCAGATTTTTCTCTAGATGGTGATACCATACAATGGCCTAATCTAGCATTTAGAGATAAGATGGGACTGTCCTGGGTAACCACCCTGACACCTACCCCAGAGACCAGGGATAGTGCCCAGGAGCTTGCCACAGGGACAAGGAGCACGGCCCCACAGCCTGACACTGCCCATCTCAGAAATGAACCACCCAGACTGGATGGGGGCATGGGAGGAGACAGGCCAGGTGCTGGGGGAATACTCTTCCCCAGTTAGTGGGAAGACCTCTCTATCCCTGTCTCAAAGTCTGATGGTGCAGCCCTGGAACCCACAGACATTACACCCACTCAGGGTCCAGCTGAACCATCCCTGACCCAGGACACAGGAATTGATTGGGTGTTTGTGAGGGAGCCAGGGCCCCTTCTTCTCTGGGACCAGCTTTTAATGAATGTAAGAGAGAGGACTGTTCACAGAGACAGAATGCAGGATCACCATCACAGAATGCCCTGATGACCACTGAGGAAGGAATCCAACAGCTGAGAGACGTGGCAGTACTAGAGGTACTTTCTGGGAGGGATGGACAGCATGGTAACAACCCTGACAAGGTCAGGTGCACAGAGCAAATGGAGCCTGGAGCCTGGCACATGCAGGGCCATCCCAGAACTCCACCTTCATGGCAACACTGAACGTGGAGGACACCTGAGAGACAGTGGGCACCACAGCCAGCAAACTCAGGAATTCTGAGAGCACAGTCCATGGCCTCATGCAGGCTCACGTCTCTGCTGTGGTTAAGAGTCTCAAAGAGAAGAATGTTGACCAAAAGAAAAGGCACCACTGTTCTAGGTGATCTTTTGAAAACTAAGGGCAAATAGAATATTAGAGATTTTTCATTCTAGTGACAGTTGTGTACTTCAGTGGTCAGATCATTAAAACAATACTTTTATTATAAATTTCACCAGAAACAAGTATTCCTCTCCTGTCTTCATAACCAAACTTTTACAGGACTATTTTATTAGAAGCCAAGAGAGTTTGAAGAATCACTTAAGCTACAGTACTATGGCTGCAGATAAAAGCCCCCGGTTATCTCAGCATGACTCACATTCTCTTTGCAATACAATAACCTCTCCCCCTTTAAAAGATGAACTCACCTTCCCTGTGGCAGTAGAATGTTATTTACACCTCCTAATTTGACATTTATTTTTAAGCAGAGGTTGGACAGAGTTTGTGGTGTTGTTCTTTGGACGTTTTTCATCTGCACACACTGAGTGGCCATTCCCAGCACCGTGTCACCAACGCGCTTCACCTCCGCTACAGAATGAGAAAAACAAACAAAAAAAAGATTTGCAAATTGCAAATCAAACAATGGAGGAGACTTGAATTTGGTGTCAATTAACTAGACAGACCTGGAGTTTTAGCAAGGTGGCGCTCAAGCTTAAAGGAACACAATGAAACCTACCCCCAAAACCCAACCAGCCTCCAGAACCTCCCCCCAGTTCTGCTCTGCTCCACCTACCTGGGTCCTAAACACAATAACTAAAGGCACTGCTGGCTTATACTGACAAACAATTTTTAATTACTTCTTATTTTAAAATTGTAGCATTATATCATCAGCTTTGGCTAATGATGTGGGCAATATAAATTATATTAGGATATTGAGCATGTGTTGCATTATTAAACACTGCAATAGTAACACAAACCTAACAGTAAAGTGCTGAGCAATATTCAGCCGAGCAGTTTATCAGTTCTTCACTGCAAGTTTATTCAGAGACAATGGTCCATAAAAACTCCAAGAAATCCATTAATTCCAAAGGTTAAATCAAATCCTACTGTCAACAACAAAATTTAGACTTCAAGGCTTTCAGAGACCCACATACTCTTACACTCAGGGAAGAAATTTAGGCTCCAAGACTGGTTCAGAGAAGATGAACCACCCTCCTTTGGCAACAGGAGAGGGAAAGAGCAGGGCGGGAAGAACAGAAAAGACAAGACTGTGGGTATAGGAAGTGCAGGGTATGAAAGAGCGTAGGGAGAAAATAAGGAGAGATGATTAGAGGGGGCAGAAATAACTGTAATTAAAGATAATGACAAGGAAAGAAGATGGGAGCAGTACCACATCCTCTGACTGGTTAAGTAGAGGAAAAGAATTCCCTTTTAATGCCAAACAGAAGTAGTAAAAATGTCATTTTGCACCCAATTTCTGTTGTACAAATTAGAGACGAGCCACTTCCTCTGCAAGCTGAATTCAAGGGAGGAAAAAGTACTATTTCCTTAAGGTTCCTTGCTTAATCTCTTTTCATCTTGTAAGAGACAGTATTAAAGTTGGAAAATTATTTTGTGCTGTATTAAAATGGTGAGGGATGGGATAAAACAAATCTGCAGCTGCTTGGTAGATCTGATCCATCAGAGAAGAGTCCACGTAGCTATGAGAGAAAAACAGTAGCTGCTGCTCCAGCTGGGCAAGGTAAGTGAAAAAAGGAGGGAGGCAAGACAGGAAAACAAGCAGTCCTGCCTATAGGAAGAGCTGGAAAATGTATGGTTTATATAAGACATTAAAACCCATGTGTGTATGCCATGTAAAATGCACCAATTGTCACTGTTTCAAAAAAAGTTTAGTTTGCTGCATTTTCACTTTCTGTGCACCTGTATCCTTGTAACCAGAGTTAAAAATTTGAAATAAGAAAAATACACAAATATTCTTCGCTCAACATTTTTTTTGCCACAGGGAGATTGTGTGAGTAAGCAAAGATGTTCTAAAAGCTACGGAGTTTTGGAAGTCATTACTTCTTCAGTTACTTGGAATTTTCAGCACACAGATTTTATTAAGCACATTATAATCCACTGCCTATCAAAGTCAATCTCACCAAAGCCCTGTGTTGGCTTTCTCACAACCTGAATCTCAAATGCAACCAGCAGGGAGAATGGAGAAATGCAAATTAAAAACATAGAAAACATCCTGAAAATAATTAGCTCTTAATACAAAACATCATGCAGCACAAGAAAAATAGTAAAATTAAATTACAGCCCATTCCCTAACTGGAATTTATAGAGTTAAACCAGCATTAAACCTCTCTCCTTTGGACAGTTCACAAAAAACACACAAAATTGTGGCTGAAATGCACCATTTCCACTAACTGACCATAGACTGGTGTTTTTCCTGGCAAAATGACCACGACAAGCTGCAGGCCAGTGTAAGTGTTCTTGAGGTGTCTGAACATGGGCTCCACGCTGTCGGCTCCCTGGGCGTATTTACAGAAGCAGGGCTGCCCCTGGATTGGCATTCCAGCATCCCTGGAAATCTTCCGTAGCTGTTCTGTGAAGGACCTGGGCAATGCACATAAATACATTACATTAGCAGACAGTAAAAACCCATCTTGATTTTTGGTATTATTTTCAATGGAACAATCCTGTTTAACTCGCAGAGTTGTGCTGTCCAAAAACCTGGGAATTTAATCCCAAGTGCATCTTCTACCTTGTTTCTATGGGAAATACAGGATAAAATACTATTTGCAAAAAGACTGCAACAATGACAATTTGGCATAGCCTGCTCTAACATAATTCCATCTGTTACCACTACAGAAAGGGATGGAGTTCTTCCCTTTTTTCTTCATGATGAAAACAACCAACAGAAATTACAGCAATTGTCTCAGTGAATTGATTTAGCATCCATAATAATGCACAGTTCTAGAGATATGAGAGAAAATCCTGGAGGTGAAGGCAAACCTCCTAGGTTGGTGAAAAAAAAAAAAACCCACTCTTTGATGAAGTGGTCAGATATAGAGACAACCTAATTTCTTCAGAGGCTTCCACCTGTGAGCCTTTTTTGCTCAGTGATAAAAAGCTCTTTATTAAGTTGGAGTGGGTACCACCCCCAGTTGTCTAAAACATTGCTGATCTTCACCACAGGGTGCCAGGATGCCACTGACTGAGAGGGTGTGAACATTTAGCTTTTTCCAAACCTGTTGTTAACTTGCATGAATCATAACCTGTGAGCTTCACCCCTGCAGCCTGAGGCTCCTTGCAGAGAATATTTCTTCTGCAAAAACAAGAACTTACTACAGCAGAGTCAGTGGCTGAACATCTCCCCAACCCTGGGAGTGTCCAAGGCCAGGCTGGATGAGACTTGGAGCAACCTGGTCTAGGGGAAGGTGTCCCTGCCCACGGCAGAGGGCTTGGAAGAAGATGATCTTTAAGGTCCCTTCCAACCCAAACCCTTCTGTGATTTCAAGATTCACGTCTGAAAAAATTCAGGGTTTGAACCTTTACAAGTCCATCTGGAAGTACAGCAGCTACAAGGAAAGGTTCTCTCTGCTCCCAAGAGGTAAAGTAAGATGATTTTGAAGGCTTTTAGAGCATTTGAAGGTGTTTACTCTGATAAATCAGCAGCATTCAAGTACCAGGTTGCTCAACAAGATGTAAGAAGAGGCCACAAGATGGAAAGGGATGCAAACATTTTCCTAGCATGAAGCAATGTCCTTTCATGGTAAACACAAACTGATTCTAAACTATCTAAATAATTTTATTTTGGCTCATTATGTTGAGGACTTCTGCCTATTTCTCAAAACTCAGTAACTTGACTTACACAACATTTCCACTAGAAGCAACATCGTGGAAGGGAAAGTTCTCTGGCAGCCCAGTTCCGGGCATGTGCCTGGAGAGAACAAGTCTCTCCCCTCCTCACACAATGGGAAGTAAAAAGATTGCCACTGTTTGCTCATCACTTGTTAGGGAAAAATTCCCAAGCTGTTTGGCAAATCATCTGAAGGAACACTGCCATGGCAATGCCAGTGGTGTGAGCAATCCCTGCCTTGCATTCACCTCCCAGAGAGCAGCTGAGTCACTGCCAGGACAGCTCCAAAGGCTGCACTTGTCCATGCAGGAAGGGAAAACAGCTGCACGTGGAAGGAGGGATGAGACATGGATCTGGGCCTGCACACCTTCCCTGAGCCAATGGCAGATGTCACCGTAACAACAGTCTTTGAAAATTCATGTCCCATCCAAAGATGAAGAAACCAAATCTCAAAGTTTCATTCAAACACTTAAAGTCAATAGAACAACCAGTCCTACTCATTTGGCAAATACAGCACTTTGCACATTCCAGAAACTCTGAAGAGGAAAAGGTTTTGGACAAAAAATTTCCTTTTGAAGACATTCTGTATGAATAAATCTACTCCATATAACCAGAATAGAACCCAAAAGAACACACATGTTAACTGTCACTCTTGAGAAACACCCATCATTACATAATTTCAGTTATCTTAAACTCTGTCCTGAGGCCTCACTGGTCAAAAACCTGCCAGAGAGAATAAATGGCTTTAGTTCAGTCTGATATGGAGAATTTCCTGATGCTGGCATTGAAATCAGACTGGCATCATTCAAAACACAAAGAGAAAGAAGATGTATTGCCATATGTTAAACTATTCAACCAAAAGTATGCTCTTAATAAAAGTGAAATCATGACATTTGCATCCATAATAAATGATAAAATCACCACCTTACACAACACACTTACTTAAGATGAACTTCAGTGCACTGGCGCTGGGGAGCAAAGCAGGCAATTGCCCAAACCTTTATTTCAATTCCAGTGTGAAATTGTTTATTTCTCATGTCCCAGACACCTTGCACTGGTGTAGCAATTGCTTTATTCTGGAAGTGGAAGGCAAAAATTAAAGATTAATGCAAAACTTGAACGATGCTAAACAAAAATTAGCTTTGTTTCTACTTCCCTCCAGCTGGCAGGTGATTTATATTATCAGGTCATTCTCTCCCCTGTAACAACAGCTATCCTATTTTAATAATCATTTTATCACTGTAGCAAGACACTTTCTTAGACAGGCGAAAAATAAAGTTTACATTATTTATTTTTATTACTGATCATTGCCTTTGGTTATATTTATCAGGAGTAAATAGAATTTATACATGGAAAGTAAGGTTCATGCTTGGTATGGAACGTGAACAAGAACCTACATTTCTACAGTGACTTTACAACTGCTCAGTGAAGTTTCCAAGGGAAAATTACTTTAAGTACTATGAATATTTCACATATCACTAAGTAGAGGCAAATAATGGTTCAATGTCACACACAGCTCCAGAAAAAATGTGAAAAAGTTGAGAAAGGTGATCAGTTACTCAACTCAGACCTGCCCAACACTTCCATTTCTCCCACCAAGCAGATATTACTGGGATGGATTATCTAGAGGACAAGGGCTGTAATAAAGCAGCTGAAGTAATGTTGGTGATGTTAATTACCTTAATAAATACTGATAGATGCTTTAGACAAGTTACCATGATGTCTTCCTTCCTACCTAGCAGCAACAACTAAAGCTTCTGGGCATTTTTCAGGACACACACATGAATTTGACTATGGATTTTGCAAAGAGTTGTGTGTGCTGAAGGCAGTGCCTCCCCCACTACGATTTTCCAACATTCATCTGCCATTAAGTTCCCCCAGCCTGCTGGTGCCAGAACAGTTCATTAAAGCAGTCCCCTAATCAGGGTCAGGACCTTAACCTGCCAGTGAAGGGAGGTTTGAGATAATTTGCCTGAGTCATCTGAAGAATTTTAGGCAGAAAACTCAAGATCCTCTCCCATTGTTGGTTTGGAGGCACCAGTCTGTTGTGCACAGGGACAGAATTATATTCAGCTGGCAATGCATGATCTGAGGAGGCTCATCAGAAGCCTCCACAAATAAAGTTATCCCAGCTATTAAAGCTTTCATCTTACAACAAGTCCCAGTATAAAACTGATGAAAAATCCTGTTTCTCAAGCTTTTTTAAAAAGGTATCACAGGAGAAAGATTATGTCAGAAAGGCCATCTGAAAAGCCATTGTAAAATAAAAACCTGTGGGTAAATATTCCAAACAGAAAGAGGTGGCTTTGGGGAAAGACATGCTGATAGAGATGATACCTCAAGACAGCTGCCATAAACACAGCTGCTCCACCCAGAAGATTCAAAACCAACCATAAGTTCAGGAATATTTCAGCATATTTTCAAATATATACAGTGATAATTGAAATGGTCATTGTTCTTCTCCATACACATTGATTTGAGTCACTCTTTGCAGGCTGCTTCTTGCAACACACAATGCAAGTGTTTGAGGCAAAAAAAGGCCTTTTTAACCCAGCTTTACTTTCAGAAATGAAACATCGATTGAGAGAGATGCAAATTGGCCAATACATTTAAGGACTTTGAGAACCTAAATTTAAATTCTGAACAATACACGTGAAAGCTCTCTCATTGCACACAACACAATTAATTTAAAATAACCACATTACAGAGGCCATCACAGCTGGTGCTGGAAGCCATCACAGACTGCACAGAACCCACTGGACATACCCTGCCTCCATAGAGGATTGAGGGAGGCTGTAGGACTCTGCCAGTCACATCTGTCATTTCATCCTTGACCATTATCCCAAACTCTCGGACGTAAGGGTCAGTGTTAAAACTCGCGCTCCGCATCTGAAATGATAAAAATGTGTAAAACCAAGCTCATAAAGAAGTATAAAACCAAGCAGTGCACAAACACATCAGTCAGAACCTGCTCAGGGTGAGCAAAACTGAGCCCATTCCTACACCTGCCTCATGTTTGACACAACACTCACCAGTTTGCTGATCTCTTCCTGTCGGTCTGGGGCTGATCTGGCAGTGGCTCGAATCATAGTGGAAGTTTGATTGTCAGTGAGCTTCTTTATGCATCTTTGTCCTGCCACTATGTTGCACACCTGAAATTTCCCCACAGAAAGAAAATTAAACACAGTCCAACTGTTTTTTGGCTCACAACTTTTTTTTTTCACTGATGCACTACAGAATTTCTCAAAATCTGGCTGCTCAGAGAACAGTTTGCCAACATTTGAACCCTTTATCCCTCTGACCCCCTTTCCCCAGCCCCAAAAGACAGAATTCTGAGTTTACGTGCCTCCAGAGGAAGGTATGTGTGTTTCTGCTCCTGTCCAACTTGTAAACATGGAAGGTGAGGGTAGCGTAAAACTAATTTATGTCTGTCCTTAAAATACTGAGCTACAGTGCATTCAACGGTTTGTCCATTCTCCTGCTGAAGTGGGAATCTGTTGGAAAGCAAATATGGAAAGCAGCTATGACTTCATGCAAAATGCTTCCCCCCCACAGTTCCTCAGCACACCTTTTGGCACAAGTTAAGCTTATTGAAGGAGGATGAAACAAAGCCCAAATAATTAAATACCAGATATAGATACTGATCAGTTATCTTCTTGTAAAAAGCCGATATCAGTTTTGTTCCTTATATTATTTCCTTAAAAATGGGAGCCACTGTCTCCATATTCAAGTTATCTGCAAATCTCTGGTTGGTAGTTAAAAAGAAGTATTTTTATCAGAGGAAAAAGAGATTGCAAATAAGCAACATCAGGAGGCTGATCCCAACTGGAACTACTTTTCTATTCCAGTTGTGGCAAACATTAGGCTACAAATAGGACACGCTGTCCTTCCAATTTTAAAGAAATCCATAAACGACACATAAAAAACCATCCCACCCAACAAAAAAACCTCCCAGATCTAAAACAGCGTAATTGGTTCAAATGCCATGATGATCATTATAGTATAAAAATAGAACAAAAAGAACAGCAAAATTGGGAAAATACTCTGAGGTATATTTAAGGATATTAACCAAAGAAAACATCATTTTTCAAGGTAACTTTTCCCACCTCAGTAAAACAAGATATTTTTCCAGCCTGAAATCAAACATATGCTTTAAAAAGCAGAAAAATACTTTACGTTTGGTGACTTGCTGGTCGTCTGGTGACATTGCACACTCTGTACTTCCTTTTCATTTGTCCACAGTGTGTTATCTCCACCTTCAGACCTAGAAATTGGATAGCACAAATCACCATTTCTCCAAAATCAAGTTGTCAGCCCTAAACTGCTACACAAGACAGTTAAAACATTCCATTTAGCCTCAAAGGGTAGCCCAGACAGAACTCAAAAAGCAATTTGTAGTCTTAAAATACAAAACTCCTGAGCTTCAGCCAAAGTTCAACACAGAATTTCAGAGGCAAGATGAAATCCCAAAGCCCCCAGAGCTCACAGATGATGCTGAGCACATTCTGCAAATTCCAGTTCTCTACTTCTAAGGAAGCTCAGGATGAGGAAAGGACAAAAAGGGCACACAAGCTCCTTGAAACTAAACCCCTTGTTTATACTTTCTGTCTAAACATATGGGGTCTGTAAGACCTCCAACTCTTGCAGCCCAGGCTGAGCTAATGAACTGGGCCTGTGGGTGGAGTGAAATCCCCAAACAGCCTCTCCAGGAGCTCATGGCAATGAGGCCACAGTGAACTGAGTCGGTGCCCGATTGTCCTTTTAAAACATTCACAACCAATGCAAACTCAGGATTTATTGATACTTTCCTTGCTAACTTCTGGTTGGACAAAGATAATTTTGTTGATGTTTTTTTGAAGGTACAGGATGGATTTATGGATTTTTTCTTTTTAAAGTTGCTTACTTTCTGCCAAGAGTATCAGGAAGGATCTCCATTTTGCAGAAGAAGCCTTCAGTGAACAAAACCTGTAAGATTTCTTTCTCCTGTTCTTTGATTCAGTCACTATACACTAGAATAACTTATTTACTTCCAGGAGAGGGTATGCAGGACAGATGCCTAAGTATGCAAAACCACATTGCTAAATTATTAGTAAAATCTGAAATATTAAAAACCTGACATCAGCAATTGGAAAAATTTAAGATTGGGTAATTAAAAAAACATGAAATCCCGGTCTTTGTAAACACTTATAAATCATCAGATTAGGAACTGGAATATTTTTGTATGAAACTAGGATTGGTACTACTCAAAGGTTTCAAAAGCAAAAAATATGAAATGTGTCTCTCAATAAGGCCAAATATTGTTGTAGAAAATATTTAAAACACATAGTGGTAACATATCAGACAAAATAAAGCAGCTGTATATAATTTCTTTATTACCTTTTATTTCTTTGGTAAACTTTACCCTTTGGGAATCTGTCAGAGGTTTTTGTTGTTCTTCAATACTTTTGAAGTCCAGAACTTCACAGACAAACTCAATAACTGGCTGTGCTTTGTAAAATGCAGTTGCAGATACTGCAGACAAAAACATGAATGGTGTGTTACAAGAATACAGAGGAAAATTTTAGGAAATTCAACAAATGGAACTTAGTTTTTGCCTTTCCATTAAGGAGCAGGAAGAAACAAGAAAATACTTCCTAGTACCTACCATCAATATTTAACATCATTTTCCATAATGAAGGTCTGACTGACTGATGGAAGCCAAACCAAACTTCTCTGCCACCACCCAAAGGATTTGAGCACCCTTCTGATGCTGTAAAGAAAGATCTCCCCACAGGAGTATACCTGCAAGAAAGCAAATAAATTCACATCAGAAAACTAAAGCAAAAATTGCAATAAAGCCATAATTAATGCAAATTCCTTTTCACAAAAGCACAGAAATGTCCGTGTTTGAAATTACCAATAATCTGAGATTCCTGGCAAGACTCAGGTTACAAGTCTCAAAACCCAGCTTGCTACAGTAAGAAACTGCCTACTACTCGAGTTTAAATTTATCTTCAGTATGTTCCTTAATATACCTACAAATTCCACCAGAAATCATTAATAACTTGTTATTTATATTCTATTAAAACTTCAGCTGTGCATCCGTAAGAAAAGAATTAAAATACCAATGTAACAATCTCTCCCCATACTCTGAATTATACATATTATGTGAGGGTAAATAACTGATCTAAATAAAATATTTCTGATCCATCTTTCATCTTGATAATTAAGTACTGCAAACTTAATAGCAAACAAATCATATCCAGAGCCAGTGTGTTCCTCTGAACCAAGGTATCTGACATTCTGGGCTGCTTTCTGTGCTGTAAAACCTGATAAAAGTAATTTTACTTCTTTTTTCCCTAAATTTGAAGACGAAGTCACCATGCTATAAGGATATTTAAAGTCATTTACATATATTAACTCATGTTACCTGTTTAGAGCTTTGATATGGGAAAGTTCAGCCCTACTAAACTTTGTTCTTTGCTTTCTATTTGAATATAATTTGCACAGTGGTCTTATGTGACTTGTCTTACAGCAGCAGAACTAATCCCAGTATCTCCTGGGTGTGACTGAAAATGCTGCACGTCCCACTTGAAAAACAAACAATTTTTAAGTTTTTCTTTCCTATCAAAATAGCCACACAGGGTGACATAGCCCTGTAACCTTTATACAAAATTGGCAATAAATATTTGTCAAAAGACACACAGGAACAGGGTAAGAAGTTGTTTTAAATCCACCCTTCCACATTGACCAACCTCCAAGCACTTCCCACTCGGGGAGAGCCTCCTTCTCCAAGGCTACAGAGGAAAGAGATGGCAGAGCCTCCCTGAGCTCAGAGCCCCCAAACACGGGGCCAGACCGAGACCTCTGTGTCCAGGCTGGAGGCTCCAGAGTCCACCAGGACAGCAGGAAAGCACCAATGGCCTCTGGCCTGAGCCTGCCATTGCCACACAGCCACGGCTGGGCTGTGGGAGCACAGACTGCCCCAAGAGCCACCAAAGCACCCGAGTCACACCTAAAGCACCCTCACCTCATGGAAGGCAAGTGCCTCATCACCACATCCAGGGCCTGGATGGTCTCAAAGGGGACACTGGGCAGCCGGCCAGAGAGAGCATCATGTAAAGCCTGCAAACTCACACAGGACATCCACTTGATAGCCACCTTAAAGATTCTGTCCTTTCCTTCTCCTGGCAGCGTGACCTCCAGCTCCACCTGCAACAATGCCAAACAACAAACCAAGATGATTCTTTCCATTGAAAGGGGGGAAATCAGAAGGGACAACGGATTCCTCTGAACATGCCAGGAAGCAGGGGAGGAGACAAAAAGCAAGGATGAAGCAACAGCACTCAACAGGTCCAGCCTCTTTTCACAGCTCCATCTTCCCAAGGAGGTATTTCAGAAGCCTGGAAGCCTCCCAGCTGGCACCTATCTCCTCTGTGAGGCAACACTGCAATTTGGAGGTGCTTGTATCAACAGGGAGGTCTCAGCGAAGATCCCATAACCTGATTTCAGATCCCTAAGGCCCCAGTGCATCACTGCTCCTGTCAGCCCCTGCATGCCTAAAATACAGCAAGGGGTGCCACCACCTGCCAAGATTCATGAATTCCTGGTATTTGCTCCCGAGAGCACCAGACTGCTTTACATACTATTGCTGCAGACACAGTTCAAACAAGAGAAGAAAGGAGTTTTAAAATAGGAAAAAAAAAAAAAAAATCACCCATCACCCAAACAAAACAAAAAAACCCACAAAAGCCATCAAGTCAAAACTCTTAAAGTAAGAAAAGAAAGAATAAACTACAACCCCCAAGTACCAGTGATGGTATCAGGCACTTCTTTGCCGTGTTATGCCCTACTTTGAATTTTTTGTCTAAAAAACAGTGGCAAACTACATTGTGGTAAATTACTTCAGCCAATTACTGTAATTACTTGTAATGCTGATTTCTCCTCTTTCTTAAAACAAAGGAAGTCTGAGTACCAAAGTTTTTAAGCCGACTAAAATTAAGGATTGTCTGAAATAATCAGGAGGTCTGGGAGTGACTACAAGAAATAACAAGATCAGAGTATCCTTTTGTGCTGGATACAAACAAAAATGCTGCATTTTGCCCTGCTAGGGAGCTTATAGTTTAAATATAGAAGGCATCCACTTAACAGGCAAACTGTAATTAGCAAAAATAATAGGTGGCTAACAGCAAATTAAAATTTGCCAGCATCTGGTCTCCTGCAACAATTTGCTTCTTTGGTCCAAAAATAGGAAGGAAATATAAAACAGAAATAAGAAGCCTTTCCCGTGTGCCCCCAAAAATGAGCTGACCATCTACAGCAGGCACATAAAATTAATATTACAGCTGACTCTCCTCCAGCACAAACATCATTTCCCAGGGAAACTCGAGCAGAGGAAGGAGCTGCACAGCTGTGGGAGAGCAGTGGGAACTGAGTCTAATCCTGGGCTCACTGCTGTGAGCCTGGCCAGGTCAACCCTGCTGAAAGCTGTGCAAAGAAAAGGACAGGTCTTCAGCTCATACAGGCTGGAAGCTTTCCATGAAGCCTTTTTACCACCACATCATCAAAAAGCCCTCAACTTGCCTCTCATTTCCAGCAGATGGAAGATGTCTGTTGCATCTGACCTGCATCTTCCTTTAAACCTCTCCTCCAAACCAAGTTTCATCATTCCTGCTTGAGCAACCTGGTCTGGTGGAAGGTGTCCCAGCCCATGGCAGGGGCTTGGAACAGGATGGCCTTTAAGGTCCCTTCCCACCCCAACCACTCTATACTTATTCCCAATATTGGTAATACACAACTCATTTAGTTATTAAACACTTTGGTGCCCTTAATCTGAAAAAAAAAAAAATATTCTATTTTACTTTTTTTTCCTCTCCTGGTATCAATTTACAAAACTCCTTCACCACGATGGAATGGAAGATAAAGAGGAACCTGTGCTGCAGTACCCTTGTCCCTGGTGGAAATAAAAGGCCTGGGATTGAAGAATTTCTATTCCAGGTGCCCAACTGCAAATACCAGTAAAAGTTAGTAGAGCTGTGACTGATGAATTTGGCCCAAAACAGTTTTTGCTGCTGGGTCCAACTCCAAATGAGTTGAATTAGGAGTCACTGCTAAAATAAGCAAGGTAACTTTCCATCTCACATCCAAAAGTTCACATGTATTTTTAGGCATTGCTAATCAGAATTTTTCCTCTCTCAGTAATATTTTATTTATCCCACTCTGTATTTCTGAGGACAAATGAACACAGTCATGTTTGACAAAGTAAGCAAAATATGAAAAAATTAGGACAAAGTACTTTTAGATGGGAATTTTACTCTGTCCTTTACTATTAGGGATAAATCCTAAAGCAAAATATAAGATTTGCTTTATTCTCTATCCCTCAATTAAAAAAAAAAAAAAAGGCTTACAATGTCAGGATGCTACCTGGATGACCCATTGCTAAATTGCAACAGATTTTAAAATTTTTCAGCTAAGGGAGCTAAATGAAAGGGATTTTACTGTAAGGATATGAAAAATCATCAAGCTTGTAGAAAAATTTCAAAGCTATTCTTAAAAAGCATAGGTCTTGAAGCTGACGTGGTCTGAATGACTCACACAAATCAGTATTATCACTGTTTAAAAAAAAAATAAGAATTAAACCTGACCATGTGTTTCTAAGGAATTCTTAGTATTTCTTCTTCTCCATAAAATAAATTCAACATCACATGATTATTTTATCATGCTCTGAGCATACAATGCACCTTTTCTCTATTAATCCAAGAGCTTTTCCTTCCCAGGGACTCAGAGGAAAACAGATTAACAACAAACTAAGGATGGAGGAAAGAGCTCTACTCTGTCATGTGCAGAGTCTTTAGCAGTACTTCAGAAAGGCAAAGTCAGAGGAGTAAGTTTGTGGCCACAGCCAGGATTTACATTTTCCTTCTGGATAAGGGAACAGCAGAAGGATTTCTGTATCAAACTGCTGTTCTGTTCATTCATAATTAGTTTTTCTAATAAAAGACTAATGAAGATGTAGGTTAAGATACATCAGTTGCTCTTGAATCTTGCTAGGTGAGAAAACTTCCAAGTTCAGGTAAAATTAAATTCCAATTCCAATTTAATTGTATTTAATTTAAATTCCAATTTAATTGTATCAGGATATTTCAGGGAAATACACAAGTAAAGCAGGAATTGAATACAAAGCTGCTGTTAGAGGTGACTTGGGTTGCTGTGTAGAACCTACAGAGAAAGAAGAGACTTTTTATATCTTCTTACCTTGACAGTGTCCTAAACACTTCTTTCTTCTCAAAGTGTACAAGTAACAGCTAAGAAAATATCACGTTAATATTTACATATTCCATATTTTTTCTAAAAGGTCTAAAAAATGAAGAAATAAAAGAGTGAAGATAAGGTACACTAAGAAAGGGATGAAAACATAATTGAAAACCACAAAAGCCAAGCAGAAAAGTATTTATATAGAAGAAAAAGTTGCAAAAGAAGCAGAGTTGCCAGCAAGGACAAAAAAAAAAAAAAAAACAAGCCCAGAACAACCACTACCAACAAGAGATGAGGACAGAATGCATTAATTAACTTAAAAGAGCAAAAGGAGGGAAAAAAAACCTTGGCAATTTGGTGTCAGCCCTCTGTTTAGCATCAGTTTTTCCAATACCAATGCATACTGCAAGTCAATTAAGATCTTCCACATAGATTAATCATTGCATGTTCATGAATCTTTTCAATATGATCCTAAATGCAATCAGATGTGCAGTAAACTTGCTACATTTGTTATGCACAGAACAGTGAAAAAAAAATAAAAAGCCACCAAAGAAACCTAATCTAATTATGCTGGAGGAAAGTCCTAATACCTACAAGCTTTATAGTGGTTTAAATCATGCTTAAACCAATTTAGCACCATGTAAAAATTTCCTTCATTAAGCTAAATTTCCCCCCCGTCTCATTTAAAATAGCTAAAGGTTTATCTCTATTAGCTCTATCCTCCAGGGTAACGTTAATATATGCAGAGCAGAACAAGTGACAAAGCCCTATAACCATGAGAAACGGGGGAAAAAAAGGAGTTTATTGAAAGTGAGCCTGGATGTGAGCCACAGATGAAATCACCTGAAACTACCTCGTGCTAAACTCCACCACAAACACTCTCCTCAGTGACCACCCATTCCAAATGCTGACTGCTCTGGCAACACTGGGAAAGGATGAGACGATTTCCTGGATGAGATGTTCCTGCTGTGCCTGCTGACAAAACAGGACTCCAATCCTGATGCTTTGGATTTTAAAGCCCACATACACTAAAATATACATGGTATAAAACTGAAGTCTAGGGACACTGTGGCAGCAGGAAATGCTCTTGATGCCCCAATTCCTCTGTGTCTGTGCAAATGAACAGAGTAACCACACATAGGAAAAGACTGGCCAGGAAGATTTTGTTAACTCTGTCCCATTCAAAATGGTTATCAGAACAAGGAGGGTCAACTTGCATCTCATAAAGCTTCATTAGATCTGAGGATTAATTTCATCTCTCTTTATCATGTATAGATAAACCACTTTTATTTACCTTTACTTATTAAATGCAGAACTTCATACTTGTCATAAGGTATTATTGTCATTCATGCATAATTTGTAAAGTATTATAAGGAAACTCTGCATACATCCAGAGTTGCTCAAACCCCTAAGAGACTCTCATCAAGTATCCTTCCACCTTTGGCAAATACTTTGCAGTCTTGTGTGTCAAACCTGCAGAGACTGGAATATTCTATGAGAAAGAAAGGGGGAAAAAAACCACTAAGACTTAATGATTCCTTTATCATTTTCCCAGATGATACCTTATCAGTTAATGAAAAGTAATTAACACCAGAGTAGAGACTGACCTTTACTGCATGGCATTCCCTTAGATTGGGAGGAAATAAAAATTACACATGTGAGATTAAGAGATTCAGGTAGAACTATTAACTACATCAAGCACTGCACAGGCCTCCAATATGAGACAGCAAATGACAGCCTGAACTATTGCATAGCTGCTGAATTTCAGAGGGCCTGAGTGGTTCCCAGTTTCCACATTTCTCTTCCCCACTTATGTTTTATTTTTGTCTACTTAAGCTGTAATCAGCTCCTAGGAGATAGAGCAGTCCTCCCCTGTAACTGTGCACCCTCAGCACAAGGGGACTAGTGCAGTACCAACAAGAATGACTGTGCCCTCCCTCAGGGACTCACCTCAACAAATAAAGGCACAGAAAATTCAATCCGGAGTTAGAACACAGATGCACACACTAAATTATTTTCTAGGGCTTGTGTGTTAGCATGTTCCAACAGAGTCCCTTCCACTCCAGCAGTCAATGGGCACAGGAGCAGCCACAACCAGAGCCCAAAGAGGTCACTGCCCCACCGGGAGCTGGCAAGCACAACCTCAGTCCTCTGCAGCTGCCCTGGGGCAAAGATTGCAGGTCTTAACCTGTGCAGAGTAAATTCATTTGGCTCTCAGTCAGGAAGGATTAGGGAGGAGAGGTTCCAACACAGGCAACACAGAGATGGAGGAGCTTCTTTCAGCTACTGATAGTGAGAGTAAGCTTCAAGTGGGCTTTGATGAGATTAGAGAGGTGACACAACAGCTTCTTGCTGCCCAGAGCAGTATTTTCCCTCCTCTCTCCCACACTCAACTGTGCTCTCACTTGCTCCCTAGTACCACTCTGGAGATTGCTGTCTGAGGCTGATCCAGCTCCCTAAAGTAGCAGAAACCACACCAGTGGGAAGAGAGAGAGGGAGCAATGAAGGGATATAGAACAGGGAGTGACCACTGGGATACCAACAAGCTCACACTTGTGTCCTGGCAGAGTACACCCTGAGCAGAGTGGCAACAATAGAGACATCGATTCCAGAAACAGAAAATCAGAAACAGAAAATCAGTTTCTATTAGTTTTTAGAAATATTCTGTAAATACCACATTAAAATCTCTAGAAATTTTTCTATTCAAAACTTACTTTATCTCTCCCAATGGGAAGTGGCATAGCTGTATAAAGGTTTTTTCTTCCATCAAACACTGGTTTGCGATCCCCAAAAATCTGGGTTTTAAAGTGCTGAACCATATGCTCCACTATTTCTCTGAAAATGCAAAAAGATGAAGTTAATCCAACTTTTTACTTTAAATGTTAAGTAGCAGACGAGTACTAACACTAATATTTACCATCAGAGGCATTAGGTAAATGAAAGGGTTGTCCACCCCTGTCTACTAAAGGCAAGATTTGTTCGACTGATCTGAACTGAAAGCAACCTTTTCACAGACTAAACTGTTTTATTGAAACTGCTATTTTTAGGGTTTTTTTCAGATTTAAACTTTCCTTCCTCTTCTGTGACCGGCTGGAAGTGGTGAAGTGAAAGCTCGTGCCCTCTCAAGCTCAAAACAAGAGGTGCATGGTAGATCCTGGGGCTTCAGCTCCCCTGTCCTCCAGCCCTTTCTGCAGAGGACCCTGGACCAAAAGCTCAGCAGCCTGTGAAGCTTTCAAAAATATTGTTATCCCAGCTTACAGCCCCAATGTCAGGATAGCAGTTTATGCCAACAATGATAGTGAAATGTTTTGCAGTTTCCTGAGAAAAATAATTTTTAAATTTATTTTTTTTCATACACACAACAAAACTGGAAACCATACAAAAAAACTGGGTATGTGCATTCATTGGAGCTGTGAATATTAAAAGTACACATTCATTAAAGAGTAGCTGGAATTAGGTTCCATTTTTGTATGAATGAGGAAACCACTCACACAGCTCTTGTCAAACCAGTGTTTACACACTGGTCATCCAAAGCAGTTCAGCACTCAATGAGAGGTCACCTGGAATAGTAACACTCTGTGATGCCAGAGGTCTTTTGGTCCCAATGTCCCAGAGAGACATCCTTCAGTCTACCAGTAATACCCAAAATCCATCAGCAAGCTGCAATCTTAGCACACAGTCAGGGGCAAAAGGACATTAAGAGGTTAAAACGACACAGAAAGGAAACCACTGCTCACAGATGCTGCAGGAGACTGTTCATGCACCCTGACTTGGCAAGGTAATTAACCCAGCATTCAGGCAGGTATTACAGTGCTGAAAAATCTGAGAGGAAACTGAACTCATTCAAGAAAATAATTAAGACTGTTTTAATTGGCAATTTCTTTGCTGTGTCCCAGGGTTTATCTTAAAATAAGATGTGGCCACTGAAAGCAAGTCTGATCTCCTGCAAAGCATGAATCAAACCTGACCCAGTAATATCTGCCTCAGGTCTGCAGGGCCTGGCTGAGCACACACGTCACAGTGAGGGCGGGAGGAAGGAGGTGTTTTTCAACCTTAAGATCGAGCATGGAAACCCCACTCTCTTCCTGAGCAAGTTGTTCCGATTGTAAACTGCTTAATATGAAAAATGAACACTTCCACTTAATGTTTTCAAGCTTCAAAACACATCCACAATTAGCAGTGGTGCTTCTCAGCTGTGGGTGGAGATATTTTAATGAAATATAAGTTATTTTCTCCATGCAGAGTTAAAAGTAGAGTTATTTACCACTTCACTAACTTCAGCCCTTTGGGACGACTGTTCTAGCAAGCTCATCATGCAAGCTTACCAAGAACCCTGGGCTGGCAACTGCAGGCAGAGTTCACCTTGCACAAATCCTCAAAAATTAAACTGAGGGAGCACCCACAGTGCAGAGCCAAACTCACACTGCCCACTCTGCCTGTCCAAACAGATCTGACCTTTCTGCCACAGGTACAGAAGTGTAGCCAGACTGTATTAATTCAGGAACATTGTCCCAGCTGTGTGTTTTCCAGTCCTGCTCCAGAGCTCATGTCTCAGTGTGGAACTTGCATGTAGTGGATACACCCTGTAGTGGGGTCTGCAGGGTCACAGAACAAGCTGGAGTAAAACTGAAGAACAAAACTGACACAGATGAGGGAATAGAGCAAAAAATAAAATCTCCCTCTCTCCTTCCTACAGGTTGTATCACATAAAGCAACAATAAAAGCTACTTACTATATACATGTGAATTATATAACCAAAATACTAGAAACCTGTAAGCCAGCAGGAAAAAAACATCATTCAGAATTGGATTACATATGCATCCTGCATAACACTGTGTATATATATGTATGTATGTATCTATTCTGCACACACAGAAATACAGGTATAGACGTAGGACCAAAAGGTCACAGCTCACAAAAACCCAGGTGAGTACAGGTATATCAACAGAATAGAGCAGTAAGCACTCAAAAGAAATAAAATACACATCAGTATGTGAATCCAAATTGTATTCTTACCACACTGCACTGAGAAACATCCAGTGCTGAGTGCATCTATGGCCTCTCTGCTTATTGCAAAAGGCATTTCATCTGTGTGGAATCTGTATCTGCTCCCATTACCACAAAAGAGGAGTGACTACCCTGACCCAGCAGAGCAGGTCATTAGCTGGCACTGGAGAAAGAACTTGCTACTGAATAGAATCTGCCTTTCCAGTGAGAAAAATTGCTTTAGGTTTTGTGACAAGCATCCCCACACTGGACTGTAAGGGAGATGCTCACACAGAAAACACACACAAGCTGTGCAGAATTTGGCTCCCAGAGGAGCTGCAGAGGCAATGTGGATCAGCCAGCAGCAGCTGGCAGAGCTGGAGGAGTGGCAGGGATAGCAATTAAAGAAAGCAAAGCTCTCACAACTCCCTTTATGAAAAAAGTGACTGTTCCAAGTGTTTTGCAGTGCTTCAATGCAGGAAGAGCATCTCAGTGAAATCAGCAGAGTTCAGCTTCATACATTTAACAACGGTGTTTGCTTTTAAAATTAACCTCAGCTATTGACTAGCTGAGAAATTAACTTGTAATAGATCACCACAGAAAGAAAAAAAAAAAAAACAGGGCAACAGAGCACAGTGATGGTGCTTTGTGAAAACACTATCATTACCAACTCCTCAGTGTAACAATAGAGCATGCCCTCAGGTTTATTAATTCACATTAGGAAAACTGTGGCTTTTGGGTGGCATTTTTGACTCCACACTGTTTATTTTCATGACTGCATATTCCACCCATGTGACCTTTTTAACAAGGAAAGGCTTTGCTCTTGAGTGTATAAACAGGCCATTCCAATTGTCTACAGTCAAGGTGTAGTTATGATTATGACACTTGTCTTGTGGTTTCCAGTTGGTGCCAAGTCTCATTCTCAAGTTTCACTTCTGGCAACACTGCTCCTTTTTCAAGTCAATGAAGTTGCACACTCTAACAGGGCACAGATGCCAAATGTAAGACCTGTCTGCTTCCTTCCCTGGACAGCTGCTCCGTGTTTTCACCTTGCTATCTGTGTCAGGAGCATAGTTTTCCCTTATATAGAATCTACTGATGAAGGATAATTTATTACCTGCTTCAATAACTCCATAATCCTCTCTCACAAACAAACGGGTTTTGCCTCCTCTTGTGAGTAGGGAAAGGTGAGAAAACAAGCTGGTAACCCCAGCTCCCTGAAGGCTTTCAGCCAATTACACTCTAATCTTTAACCAGGTAATAATAAATCATTTTTATCAAGTTGACTTATACCGACCCAGCTTCAATAGAGCTAATACAGCTTATCCATCTGCCACCAGTGGTTTCAATCAGCAGCATCTTAAGATTCTGACAAAATCAATCCAAGACTTGGAGGGAAAAAAAAATAAAGCAATATGCATATGCTGGTAATGGAAGTGATCAGTACAATCACTGATTAAAGCCACACATCTTTCCAGACATCAGTGAGGGCACATGGCTCCAGCTTTTTCAAAGAAAAACAAGACTGCAAATAAACTGAAGAAAGGCAAAGCACAGTGTTACCTGTTAACTCTTCTAGGACATTTCTCTGGCTTTATATCCAATTCATAATGGTAGATATCTATTTTAGGAATGTCCATTTCAAAGAAGTTGGCCTGCAGTTTGATTGTTCTCCCAGAAGTGCCAAAATCCGGTCGAGGAGGAGGTTTGAAGGCATATCCCTGTATTGGTGGTGGCAATGGGGGAGGAGGTGTGAGCACTGCAAAAGAGAGAAAGCACCACTTAGCCATCAGCTGTCTCAAATTGACATTTCAGCAAATTTACAGGCTATTGGACCAGTGAAGCCCAGCACATTTAAACCATTACTCTTTCTAAACAACCTAAAAAATGACAAAAAAAAATCTCAAATCCTGCTTTCAAGAGACCATGAATCCTTTTTTCTCTTTCTTTCTTTCTCAGGCTAATTCACAATTCGTTTTATTTCCTAGCCCAAATTACTGAAAAAAAATCTTAAAATCAGTTGCATTTGCCTATACCACAAGTCAGCTGGGTGGGAATTTCACAGACCAAGAAGGAAAGCAAGAACCAAGATCTTCCTTTCAAGGAAGAATCTTCATTTTAAAACCCATCTAACCAAATTTATTTGAGCAAACACCTATAAAATGGACTTTCCACCACTTTCCTCCATGCTGCAGCTCTGCAAAATTCTGTATTAGAACTAAACTGTAACCTACTGCTTCCTTCACACAGAAAAGAGAGCAAATACTCTGCTGCTGCTGTGCTCAATTCTTGAGCTCAAACATCAGCTGTTGCTCAGACAACATGAAGCAGAAGCACAATGGCTGCTTGCTGCTGTTTCAATCCAGGAAACTCCATTAAAAATTCACAGAGAAGTGTGTAAGGTACCAACTCGAGTATTCAAAACTCCTGCAGCCTCAGTGCTCAGGTGTTCTGTGCTCTGGAGCAAAAACAACTTGCAGCAATATCTTCACGTGTGAAATAAGCCAGGAGGTTTCTCATTACTTATGTAAGAATCCAGGTGTGGTTTCCTAAGATTATCAAATTCAGTTCTCTGCTAGCACCAGAAACAATTCACATCCCTTCATTAACAAACCAGTCACCACTTTTCCACCCTGGCTTTCTCTACTGGAAAGCTCTTCCAGAACTGTGACGCTCTAATGCTCAGAAAACATCCTTCCGTTTTTATTTATTAGTTTTCTTTTTCCTGGAGAAGTCTAAGTGATAACCACTCTGTTGCCTCCATCTGTTAACTGGAAAAGGCAGATGAATGAGCCCTAAACTGGTTTTGCCTGCTGCACCACTGCCTTGTGAAGGCCATCCAGTGACCACTCGGGGCATGTGCACCCATTTCAGTTGTTTATGATCATCTCCCAGGTCCCTATTAACTCCCAGCTATATTGTTTTTACTATAGCTACTTTTGTAATCTGTACCTATTAACCTGCTGCTTTCTGAATGATGCTCAGATTCTCCTTTTCTTGACAATCCTTCCTATACCTCTTGAAATGATGAAATTTCACATACTGATTCCTACCATTATGCAGTGTTTGCTAGTGAAATAAGACCATTCCCAACATTATTAGCACAGATTTACACTTTACCCCTCAACACTTCCCATGGCCAGTTTCCCACTCATGAGTATCTCCTTATTTTTACCACCCTACTAACAGTCAGCACCAATTTCCCCATGCATCAAATACTTAATCAGATTTGACACTGGGGAAATGATAGAGGGTTTTGCTGTCATTATTTTTTTAAAATCTTGTTTCTGGTCTTGTCTCCCAAATATATTCTAAGGCATCCACCCTTTTAATTCAGGCTACTGAAATTAAATTTCCTTTTTTCCCCTCCCTTTTATAACCACTGCCATTAAAGACTGTGTTCTTCAACACTAACTCAATCAATGCATTAAAGTCACTTCTTGCTGAAGTTCTGCATTTCCACAACCTAAAACTTCATGCTTCAATACTTCAGTTTTGCCTCCAATGGCAAATAGCAATTCTCATTTCCACATTGCTTTTGCAGTGTCAACAGCTGCCCTGAAAAATGGAGCCAAATATCAGCTGTTACTGTAACCCACGAGCAGCCCATCTGCATCTGACCTTACCCCCCTCCATCCCTCAAGGCAAGGCAGAGCACCCAGCTCACTGATTCTGTTCAACCTTTGGCTCTTTATTTTTTCTAAATTCCTACACATCCTGAATTCTAAGACACCAACTTTCATCTCTTCCCAACATTTCCAGGCTCTCTGTTGACTTCACGTTTTTCTGATGGTGATTAACTCACTCAGGTTGCCTTGCAGTCACCATATCCCCATTTGGTGGGACAAATTCACACTGAATCTGTGTTTTCAGTGGAAAGAATCCTTTGCTGTGGATAGGACACCCAACAAAGTTATTAATAGCATTATCACTACAGCTGGGAAGTAATAGAAAAAATACTCCCACAAATATTTGTACTTGCAGTACACCAAAGGTTTCTGCAATCCACCTCCAAATCTGATCAAGAGGATGTGCACAAAGCAGCCACCTCTACTCCTCCAGAATCCTGTTTGCCATCACTTCCACCCCCCCAAAAAAAATTTTAAATAATCTGTCTCCCACATAACTTTTCAGTCACTCTGCTGCTGAACCCTTTATAGCTCATCACTGCACACATTTTTATTTCCATATTTCCATAACAGAACGTTCCCATTTGAAAATTATGTCCTAGTCATTATTCTGTGATTTTTGTGTATTTCCATTATTCCCATAACATCATCCATTATGAAATATTTTAATTTTCTGTCCAGGCTCCTGTATTTTAACAGTTCCATATCTTGTTATCCACACTCTGCATTCCACATTGCCTTACCACTATTACCTGGCCAACTGTTATCAATATATTGATTTCCCTTCTCCATGATTTTTATGCCTTCTAACATTTTTGTACCTACTGCCACATCTAATTCCACTGCCCTTCCTCTTCTGTGCCATATTTGGTACATCAGGACTAATTTTCAAAATGATAAAATAATTAAACTTAAAAATTGGAAGTACAAAGAGAAGCATGATGGAAGGGGGCACACATCCTCACAAGCTATTTATGCTGCCAAATTAAGTAATCCTGTAAGCAATACATCCTCCCTCTGTTTTAAAATGGGATTGTTCAGTGCTTCACAGGGGTGTAACAAAGCTCTAAGTGTTCAGGGATCAACATGAACACATGTTGCTCAACATCACTGCATTCCTCCACTGGAGTTTTATTGGCAAACAGTGACTAAAAGTGAGGGTTTAGCCCCATTTTTGAGAATAAAGTGAAATGCTGAGAGAAGCACAGACTCCTGGAGAAAGATGTGAACACAGTTTTATAACCTGCATGACTCACAGAGATAAAAAAGCACCAAGCTGCCCAGAAAGCAGGACCACTGCCATCTTCAATTTTCATCTTAAACAGTTTTTTCAATTATTTGGGTTTTACAATCCAATTAAAGAAAAAAAAAAAGGGGGGGGCGGTGGGACGGGACTATTTCTGGCTTAACTCCCAAGGCAAAACTTATTTAGGGCAGGGTGTTGCTTCAAGGAGATAAGTACTGTTTATTAAACAGCAGCAGTGACCCGATAAGCACTCAGCCTACATTTCTGCCGCCTAAAGCAGACACGTATGTGTCAACTACAGCACCGAGGGGTGGGAACTGAACTCCAAAGGAGAAAAACTAAATATTGCAACCACTGAGCTGAATTCACTTTTTGGACTAATGCCTCAAATCAAGAAATCAAAATCAAACTGTCTTGTGTAGAAGTTTTAACAGCAAGCAGCTGTGAAGGGTAGAATCACAAAATACTGAATTTGGTGCTGACAGAACAAATAAGGCTTGACCTCCTCTCAAAACATGACAGAAGCCTTCAGGAGGCACAAGTCCTGCATTCAAAGTGATTCAGCTGTCTCATCTCCCTATTCAAACACTCCTGCAGAATTCTCATCACTCACTCACTTTTTAAATGCGACAGAGCTGTATCAACACGGGAATATTTTCCTTAGTGCCAGGGTTCCTACTAGGAAGCTTTTGCAGCCTGGTGAGGTGTGGTACAGAGGACAGCACTGGACATCTGAGCTGGAAGTGATGCCCTGCCCAAGGAAACCCGCCAAAACTCATGCAGAGACACCTTCAGGAACACAGATGCTGCTTCTGGAGACAGTATTTCAAAGTGCTGGAAAATCTACATGCATTCCTGGATTTTACTTTTAAAGTGCTGTCAAGGAAAGAAGGGATTAGAAAAAAGATGAAAGACTAATAAACTGGAGCATCCATGTGATAAGTATTGGAAGCTCCTCATTCATTTACCAGATGATAAAATGAATAATGAGAACATTTCAGCCTTGATATGATGATTGAGACCATGAAGAGCCCCATTTTCAAGGTGTGAATTAGGGTGAGCTGGGTGTGGAATAATGAGGTGCCCGTATGCTGTCTTTAGGCTTACTTTTATCAGGAAAGAAACCAGACTTCCTATTATAATTCATCCCATTTACATAAACTAAATGTTCATAGTTATCAATCTTAAAAGCAGCAATTTCTACCAAAAAAAATAAAAAACTGGAAACGACAGATACCAGAAAAATAGCAGTCTTGCAGCAGTTCTATGGAATAAAAATTAGCCATCAAGCAAAATTATTCTGTCAAAAGACAGGGGGGAAGGTGGAGGTAGAGGAAATCTGGATAATCACAGAAATCCTGTGTTAGTAAAAAGAATTTTTGCAAATTGAAAACTATTGCAAACAGAAGGCTGCCTGCTCTTATTCCTGCACATTACTGAGGATCAAAATCAGAGATAAAAGTGACTCAGGGAGTGAGCAGGCCAAGACACTCCTAGTCTATAAAAGGTGTGAATGAGCCACACACTTTGACGAGCTTCTACTCCAAAATCCCCACAATTATGTAATGATGGTTTTTCAGAACCATGTGCTCCACAACCATTTTACAGACTTGGAGCATTCACTTCTTTTGTCCTTCACTATTTCTTAAAGCTTAACTGCTGGCCTGCTCAGCATGCTGAAAGTGCTGCCAGTCAGCATTAAACTTGCACATTGGAGATTTTTTAGCAAAGAATTATGCAATTTTAATGTGCAGAGGCCTAATGAGTTACTAAATAAGAAGGGGCCAAACGAGTTGCATGGAAGGGCTTGTTGACACAGGAAATCGTCTGAGCATAATTACACCAGTGCAATTATATCAATAAGTTTCCTTGTGTGGCAAGTAC